ATCTCCATCAAACTGGTTTAATTGTAATTTAGGTAGACTTAAGCCCTTCTTAGATACTAATTTAAGACTGTGAACGGTATCCCCGACTTCACTTCTTGACTGTTGGCTTAGGCCAACCTGAATAATGAAATGGCCATAAGCTCTCATTGAAGATAACATGTCTCTGTAAGATTCTGTAGTATCAAACTCATCTTCTAAGTCTTCTTCTTTTGTTGCAAGATTTTCAAACAAGGCTTCCTTGATGTCTTCATCTTGCTTAAAAAGCCTTTCAGCTTTATCTTGCAACTTGTTTAGATTACTTTTAATTGTTACTTCATCTTTAATATCTTCAGCCAGTAATTTGTCCATTTCATTTCTGCACTTTGTAAAAGTTCTTCTTAGTTGAGTCCTTTCAGTCTTTATTGACCTTAGCTTATCCATTGTAAGTAAAATATAAGCTTGGTCCTACTCTGAATTTTAATTATAAAAGTCCTGTCACGGTCGCCACTATGTTAGAACTCGCGTGAAATAAAGAACTTTTACAAAATATTATCTCAAATCAAATCATTTATTTAGCCAAAAATTTAACAAAACGAGTTGCATTAGCTAAGTCACATTATTTTTAAAAGATGCCTTACATAGATCTACAATATATACAGGTATTTACAAAATGGCTTACATTATACTACAAATTACATCAAAGACTTATAAATCAACATTTACAATCGAATTCCTAGAGCTGATATGAGTTAAGAATTCCTGGACGCTGTAAGAGGTAAAATTTATCAAAAGAGATTTTAATCGTTTTTTAAATTTTGGAAGGTTTGGTTCTATCTTAAGAGAAAGTGGAAGAGAATTGAAAAGTTTTATTCCATTGTACTGTAAGTGTCTTTTACAGACACTTCATCTAATAAAGAACTGATTTAATTCTGATAAATAACAATATTTAAAACATTTTCTCTGTATTGTTATGTTCTTGATCACTTTCTAATTCTTACCACAACTCTTCTCAATTGTTTAAATAAATTAAAACATAAAACATCTGTTCATAAAAACAAAGACTAACAAATTATTATATTTGATGTAGATTATTATTGAATTTGTACTATATAAAAAATAACTCAATTTCCAACATATGGGGCTTTTTATGTGTTGACATGCTGGTGACAACGAATAAATAACAACAAATAACAACGAAATATAAACAGGAAATTGAAACAAAAATGGAAGAAATCCCAATCACATGTTTTATTTACATCGAGGGGTGAAAATATAAAACTCTGTACATTAGATATTTTGGTCGAGTTGTCAACCATTGGACGACCTCCAGTCTATATAGGCCTATCAAGCATGTTTCTTAAAAACCTTTTTTCTCAGCTTGTGTGCATCGAAGGGAAAATCTACGCATCATACTCTTTGAAAGATATTTTCCTGTAGTCATGCAGAATCCATTTAAATTAAAATAGGCTAAAAAATAAGCACAAAAAATGAATTTGAAACTAAGATTACAAAAATTAACATTGGCCTTATGGGTTGCTAACTTATGCTGGTGACAAAATAACAACAAAATATAAACAGAAAATCAAAACAAATGAAAGAAATTACAATCACATGTTTTATTTACAGCAAAATAAAGAGAAGCCTCGTGGGGGATGGGAAAAGTCTGTACATTACATATTTTTGGTAGAGTTTTCGACCACTGGCCGACCTCTATAGTATCTTTAGTTATACAACATATTGTAAAAACCAGCTAGATATGTATTTCAAAGCCTTCATATTAAGAATTGTTGTTATTTTTATTTAGCAAATTGACCCCTATTTTTATAGGCATATAAATTTAAAGCTCTTATCTTCTAGATGTGGAGTGAACATTTAAAAACGTACGTTTTCATGTCCCTGGCCTTTTACATCGTAGATACTGGATTTGTAGTTTATTATTATGCGTTTCAATATTTTTTGGGACGGGGGCAACATGTTACACACATTTATTTGGTTTTAAATAGGTTCTAGGTATTTTTTTCGTATTTTTAAAGTCTCGAAATTCACGACCATGACGTGTCTCTAGGGTGCATTTTCCAACTTTCACGCTGTTTTTAGACTAATTATTCATGCCGAAATATATAAAGCCATATTTTTATGTCATCAATGGTTATTAAACTTACAAAAAAGGAGCATATTATAATTTTCTTGTCATTGCAAACTGACTACCATGACAAAATAAGTCTGTCCCTCGATTTGGCGTCACGACCATTTGGGAAAAATTTTCAACTTTGGAGCACGACAGTGGCAAGCCTGGCGTCGATGGAGTCAGTTGGTTTTAGAGACTAGTTCGGGGTGTATGTCAGGATTGTAGTGCCGGTCGTTTCGAGTTGAAAGGAGGAATTACAAGATTAATAAAGGAAAGATTGTGTTTTTTGTAATTTTGGTGTGTCCATGACCGTACGTAGTCATTCGATGAAGTAGACATGGTGTTAATTTTTGTTTATAAGATATTTCAATTGCTAGATTAACCTAGAAGTCCACTTTGTATCCTCGAACATGAGGTGCAGGGCTACCGCCAGAACAGAGCCAAATAACACGTAATTTCACGACCAAAGTTTCACGACCATGGTTTTTTCACGACCAATCCAGCCTTATGGATTATAGTGTGTTTGGTCGTGACAATAACTTTAATATAATTGTAAATTGAACAGTTTAGTTCAATTGAAACACATATTTTTACTATAAATAACAGGATAATTGAAGGATTGTTTAGAAAGATTTAGATTATTCCAGACAATTCACGACCGTACCGCTTGTCCCTGACCATCACGTTTATGATTTCTATCATAAAAATTTCAAAAATTAAAATATCGTCATATTTCAATGTTTTATACACAAAAGAAGCACACCTCTATACAAACATAACGATTTTTCGGGTCTCAGGTAAGGTTTTTCGGAGTTATACAAACTTAAAAAGATTTTATTGGCTTTTTTCATTTTTTTGAGTTTTTTATTTTTTTCTAGAAATACCAAATATACCAAAAGCTCAGTGACCTTTTTATTGTATAATGGTCATAAAAGTAAATAAGTTTATAGCAAAACATAGTTATAAAAATAATATTAACTATTTTTAATATTCATTTAAACGTCCGTTATGGTCGTGACAGGATTTTGTGTTTTTCCACTAAAGATGCTCTTTTAAAAAGAAACTACCAAAGATATTGCGTTACCATGGACATTTTATGAAACTTCAAATGTTAATGAAAATAAAATAATAATAAAAGTTTTGAAAAAAGGGGAAAAGAATTTGCAAAGTGCTTTTCCTGAAAACGTACGTTTTTAAATTTTCACTCTGGGTGACTTTTGCAGGTTTGGATGATATCCTGCGAAAGCCCTTCAACCTATAGACCTTTAAAATTTAAGAGTTTGTGCTGAATTCTATTGTCAATAATCTGAAATTCTTTAAGTTTCCTTTTTATTTTATATCAAAACAGCTGGCCATGATACACTTTTGGATACTTTCCTGTTAAAGGGAACATTCATTATTATCGATGATTTTTAATCGATATATCGATATTTTTGTTTCCCTTTACGATCCATTACAGATTGACAACTGATCTTGTTCAGGCTAAAATCTAGTCTATTATGGATTTAAACTGTTCTAAGCTAACCTAACATTTTTTTTAACTTTATTTAATTTACAATCTGTTCAAGTTGAACAATAAGCAAATGATATAAATAGTAATACAAAAATAACTTGAAGAACATGAGCTAGTGATTGACCACCGTCAACACTAGCTAACAAAGAGAATTTTGATAACACTTTGCCGAATCTGAATCGTAGGTCCAATATCGTATGTCGCTTCAGTCTGTAAATGGTGTTGTGATTGTCCAATAAATTAAGTGCAAGATGATTTGAATGATTTTCAAATTTTATAATGTATTTTTCACTAGATTTTGTAATTTCTTCTTTTACTGTTCGAATTTGAAGATCATTGTGAAGTGTTCTGTTGATGGTAACAAACCAAGGAGCGTTGACAATTTTACGTAATAATTTTGATTGGTAACGTTGAATAATTTCAATGTTTGAGGTACTTGCTGATCCCCAAAGCTGATTTTTTTTTTTTTTTTTTTTGTCCTAGGACGCTAGGCACGAGTCTGGGATTGTTTTTCACATTACTTCAGGCTAGACCTAGGCGTTGCGGCATTATCACTTGAATACCATAAGTCCAAATTGGTTTTAGAACTGTTTTGTACAGTAACAATTTATTTTGTGTACTGAGTTGTGATTTAGATCCGAGAAGCCAAGTTTAGTTGTTTTTAAATTTAGATGTTGTCTTTTAGTCCAGATATGTGCCTTCCAATTAAGCTTTGCTTTAACCTAACATGACCAACCAAATGTGCTGTACCATTTTAAAAATTCCGTTTGATTACAGAAAAGGTATATGGGGAATACTAAACGGAATTTTTAAATGTTACAGCAAGTTTGGTTAAGTTTTGTTAGGTTGGTTTGGAGCAGTTTCATTTCAATTTTTTTTTTTATACTGAACAATATTTTATTTATCGTAGTTGTCAGCTGATAAGTTTCAATTCGTTAATATCAATATATCGATTGAAAATCATCGATAATAATGAATGTCCCCTTTAAAGGAAAGTACCCAATTTTGTTTACATCCATACGAAAATGAGGTTATCGTTACAGTTGGTGACGTGTAGTGAATTCAAGTAAAATATTGTAATTTTATATGTTAAAAAAAGAAGAAAACTACTTAAGTTAGATTTTGTGTTTTCATTATAATGTTTTATTAGAATTTGTAATTTTTGTGAGATGCCTCGAAGAGATCGCGCATGGAATACAAATAAAAGGGATATGAGAAATAATAATTTTCCCACTTGCTTATCAACTGCCCTTAGTCATGGACAATTCAGTAAACCCCCCTCTTTTTGAACTTGGACTAATGAATCAATGAATTTAGTTCAAGTTAACTCAGAGCAATAGAAAATTGTAAATTAATTCAGGTATATCACGGGTTTTAATGATGTTACAAAGTGATGCTGGGAGTGTCAACACTATTTACGCTAGTTGCGTACACTACTTTACCTACGACCAGTTTTTAATTACTTCTAATCACTACTGGACACTTCTAAGAGAAGTTATAAGAGATTACTTGTTTTTTTTTATACTGGTATGTTTTCGTTTATAACTCCTCATTGCCACTGACATTGATGCAACGACTCATTGTGTCAATCACTAATTGCACCAATATAACAATTAAATTGGTAAACTCTGATTAGCTGAAGTTCGAAGCATTACAATTTTACTTCTTCTTTCTCAATCCTTGAACCTCATTGGTCCGTTACCCGTGTTGTTAAGTAAATTATTGCTGTAGCAAAGCACATGTACAGCAGCTAGCATAGGATAAAAGCTGATAGGCTACGGTACTATAACAATTTTCAAATTCTAGTATTCAATTAAGGAACGCGGCAGCGTTCCGCCCCGCCAAGTCCCCCAGCGGTACACAGCTGCTGCAGTGTATATATACATGACGTGACAAAGTGGCTTTTTTACTCGTCTATAGCTCTGAAGAAACAAAAGCTATTAAAATAATTGTTCATCTACTGGATAGGGGCAATCATTCTCAACAAAATTAAAAAAAAGAATTTAAAAAACGGTTGTGTTTGAGCCAAGAAAAACTAGTTTGAAAATTCACAAATTTTCCGTGTTCTCCTTCTTCTCCTTAAATGTTGACGGACCTACAGCCCAAACCACTGGCTCAATTTTAATGTTTTTTATGTTGTTTGAAAGCCCTTAGCGTGTAGATGTGCCTTTTGAGGGTCTCAAGTCGGTGCGTTGACCCATAAACCCTTGGCAAGCCCTCAAAGTACGAGTTTGGCCCATTTAAATAACATGGGATTAAAATCAAAACAAAAGAAGGACCAGCTGCGATTAAATCTTAATTAATTAAATGTTAGAGAAATTCATAGGAACAGCTGAAAAATTATTTTAATACTTTTATAAAGTATTTTTTTCAGGTATACTGAATGATTTGAACTACTTACTATATAAAATTACTTAGAGCAGTGATATTCCCCGATACTTTCCATTGAAAAATGCAGTGTACCGATGGTACACTGGTACAGCAGCTCGTCATTTTTAACAGTTTAATACTACTTATCAAAATATATGAAACCTAGGAACTTGAAACTTAGAACTAGTACGCTAGTACTAAGGTTTGTTCTATGTTTTGATACACTAAAACAAATAAAACGATCGGGAAAATCACTCGACATATGTTAAACAAGCAATTAAAAAGTGATATGTAAATTTAGGATAAATGAGTTATTCAATATTTGTTTTGCCTTACCGCTATTTCTAACAAACCTAAATTAGTTTGATTACATTTTTACATCTCTAATAAGGGCTCAATTTACACTAGTCTTTAGATATACGGGTTTAATTATTAGAACACTTATGTAACATCAACACATTTTATGTTGTTCAAGATGAGCATTGATGAAATTTGAAACTGAGTTTAAGCCCAGTGGGTTTGTTAAATAGTAATTTTGGTACGTGTGTCAAAAAGTTTTTAATCTGTTTAAAGCAGATAAGACCAAAAATGTAGAATTTAGTTCTACATTAACAATATTATTGAAATTAATTGAGATGTAGTTGTGCCGTGGTCTATATATCAGAGAAAAGAGGATTTTTATTTTAACTGTTAATTTTCTACAAAAATAAATAAAATCTAACAAAAAACCACTAAGTGGTAACACTTTCCCCGCCAAGTCAGCAATCCAAAAAAGTTAATAAATCATTACTTTTTCCGCCAAGAAAAACAATGTAATGTATGTAAGTTTGGCAACTTGGCGGCAGACTTTTGCTCGATCCCTTTAAAAAATACCATAAAACTAGTTTCATTGAGCAAGTATCCCTCCCATTGGTACATTGCTAGGTGAGAGCTTATTTTACAAAATTTGACCTTATTTGTGCCACATTTCATAAATTATACTTAGTTGGACTAATTAATTAGAGAAGTTGATTTGTGAAATTATCCACGAACATAACTTAAATGAAAAAAACCAAGCAAAAGTCTGCCGCCAAGTTGCCAAACTTACATACATTACATTGTTTTTCTTGGCGGAAAAAGTAATGATTTATTAACTTTTTTGGATTGCTGACTTGGCGGGGAAAGTGTTACCACTTAGTGGTTTTTTGTTAGATTCATATTTACAGGAAAACATACAAGATAAAGTGAAGCAGCTGGCACATGAGCTGCAAGAGGTTTTGGAATGCCCAGTGTGCTCTGAGACGATGGATTCCACCTTAAGACAATGCATGAAAGGACATGGAGTATGCAGACCATGTGCAAGAAAGATAGACAAATGTCCAACTTGTAAGCAAGAGTTAGCCTTGGCACTTCATAAGAACACCTTGTTGAACCAATTACTAGATCTCATTCCTAAGCTTTGCCCTTATGCTGAGGAAGGCTGTGTCTCAGTGATCGTGAACCATGAGCATCAGACCTACTGTGAATATCGACCAACAGAGTGTAAGGTGTGGTCGTGTAAGTGGAGTGGGTGTGTCAAAGACTTACTCCAACACTTGAAAAACGTAATGAAACCCCATTCGATTAAGCTTGCGGCAATCAGTTGTTTTCTGAGCAAGTTTGTTAAAACATAGTGTGGCGTAAAATAATCTTATTTGATTGTACTGTGTAAGGTATAAGAAAATCATACACTTATCTAAAAAGTCCTGTATTTTAAATATCAAACTAAACCTATGACAGTGAATGCATTGGGCATACAATTATTTTTAACTCAAGAATATGCTTCCACAAGACTACTTGCACGACACTCTACATACAATAGGTAAAATTATTATAAATTTTGTTTATTTTGTACAAAATTATACATGGCAACTAAAAAAAAATTAAATAATAAACAACTTCCAAGACTTTACATTATTCCAGTTAAGAAAATTATATACAAAATTTGATATAATATTTTACATTGTGCAAATAATAACAATGAGATCGTACATTAAATAACATATACAATAATAATAATTACTCCTTACAGTTGGCCCCCAGCAATTACAACACTATCCTGGCTGCCTAAATCTTGAGTGATAACTCATGTTTCTCATGCATATTTCTGTATAAAAAATATAAAATTAGAAATACTTTATTTTAACAACATGCAAATAAGTTACATTAAAAACAAAATAATACAACTTACTTAAAATTAAAAAAAATAAATAATTAAAATTTTTGTTTGGTTGTTTACCAATATTGATATTCCCTATTAATTAAAACTATTATAACTTAACTATATTTATAATTTATTAAATTGTTCAGTTTTATTCAAAGACAATGGCAACAATTGATTTAGGTGTGCTGTGCAGATAACGACAACACTTTAGCACCAACACGTATACAGTATATCATTTGTCAGACAGCCTTAGTCACTTGCAATGCTCAAAAGAGTGACTTTCATTTAAAGCCTGTACTCTTAAAAGCTCAAATTATTTTTAATATGATCACTTTGGAACCATATCGATTTATTAACTAACTTAAGACTGAATATGAGGTGAACAATTTAGAATTAATATTAGAAAGGTAATAAATAACTAAAATAATCGACTAGATTCTTAGTGTAAAACTTGTATCATGACTATAACACTAACACTTCATAGTAAACATCCCTCCTCGATATCAAGCACAGTTAAATACTGGGTTAAATTCAGAAATCTACATCTGGTTAGAGTAGTAAGCTACATAGAGGCAAACAAACACCAAGCAATCTCCATCATTAGTTTCCCTGGAACCAAGTTAAAATTTAATTAATAGGCCCACACCATCAATGGTAAAGTCATATTTTATGAATACTCATTCTAAAGGGCTATATAGTGTATAGATTTGTTCATATAGAAAATAATGATAAACTTTTTAAAACATAACATGAAGAAATAAGAATGATATATATATATATTGTATAAAGCAAATATTAAAAATAAATTGTTCACCAAATATGTTAATATAATACAAATGCAATCTGAATCAAAGTCTCCTTGTTGTATTTTAATACATTGAAATTAAGATAAATAAAGAAAATAAGCATGCGTTATGTCTATACAATCAGAAATGCCAACACTTTTCTTTGGAAAAAAAAGAAAATTCACCTTACTTTATAGTTTTTATGTATTTGGGTCACATTAACACTTTTTAACACGCTCACTGCAGCATACATCATACAGGCGCTTGCCAATGGGCCGGAAAGGCCGAATCAGCGAATGCAATTGGCATTCAAATATTTCAGTCTGAAAAATCACAAAAGGGGGGGGGGGGGTTATTGTGCTGCATTACCCCCAGAGTGGACGTAGTTCACTGAAACACCCAAGGGTAGCAGCACTGGCTGGATCCGTAGCCTGGTTTCTTTGTAATGTGGCTCGAAGAGAGAAAATATTCGAAACCAGGACAAAAGCATTGCAAGATGGGATTTTACGGGAAATTTTAGTACCAACCTACACCTATATAAAGCTTGCATTCAAAGCTAATGGCTGGCAACGATCATAACGTTCCGCGTAAATGGCTGAGCTCACTAAGTTAAATCATAGATAAAACATACTCCCTTAGTAGATTTCTCATCCTTATGGAACAGCTGAAGACAATTTTATTGTTAGTTCTGTACGGTTTATGTAGAGGTCGTGTTTTGTTTACAATTTGTTTCCCGTTATTACAGCCATTTAAAACCTGGTTTAACCAAATAATACCATCTAATCATAAACAATAATTTGTCCCCTAGTTATATAACCAAACAGTAAAGCACAAATCAAGAAATTAACACTAAAATAATAGAAACAAAGTTTCGTCGACACTAGCGCCTTTGTGTCACGTACATGAACTAGACACGAAAAACGTGCTTCAAAATTTACAATGGGATGAGAAGTCTACTTGTGTTGGTTAGTCTATGGTTAAATCATGGGAACGGCTGATTACAACCACGCAGCAGCGAACGTGTTAAATCAGTATTTTGTTAACTTAGTAAAAACTAGGATACACTTGGAGATTAGTCATAGAGGCTAGATCTAAATTTGGTATCAAAACGAAAGATGTATGTTCGAGAGACTTTGACACATTCACAAACAAACAAGTTATTATCATTTCCCTTTTGTAATTGCACTTAGATAAAACTAAAATTCTGAAGTTACGGGTTGAATCTACAAATAAACTGTTATTATAGAGATAAAACAAAAAAAAAATTGTTTACTTAAACACTACTACTTAGTCCGAAGGTCTATTTACATTTTTACAATCTTTAAATTGAGTAGGGTCTAAAAAGCATATCACTTTCAATTTAATCTAATATTTTCTTTCATGAAACAATAATGGTTTTTGACATGTAGGAACATATGTGACAATATAAATCTAACATTAATCAGTCACATTTCAGATATAAATTTGAGAAAAGGTAAAACAACAATTATAACTCCCTATTTATACAGTAGTTTAACAAAAATAATTATTATAACCATCAAAACTAAGAAAATATATGATGAAGTAATGTACATAATTAATCAAGTAACAGAAATACGGTAGTAATGAATACTAAATACTTTCTTATATTTAACACTAGAGTGATAACAACATCACTTCTCAGCTCTTAACTCAGTTCTGAGAGCTCAAAGATCGCAATAAAAACATCAGTCACATAGTTTCTACATTTAATCACAGAGTTATGTTCATTAAAAAGAACATAATCGAGAAAGTGACTTTACCAAAAAATATCTTTGGTATTTCATTAGAAATCCACATATATAATAAAAATATTGCCTTAAAAACTCTAGACGCGTTCAAGTCACATCAAATAAAAAAGGAATGTGTTTTCGTCGAACTGCATCATAAAGCACATTAAGTACATGATCGAACTCCGGGTAACAGAGGAATGTTTAATTAATAAGTACACATAAACGACCGTAATGAACACTTGGGAAAACGCGTTTTCGATGTTTGTGCACAGTTTATAAAAAATATCGCCTAAGAGCCACACGGTGGCTGGAGGGAAATGGCACGCGAGGCCGAAGCCTAACCTCAACACCACGACTCTGATGCTGCGTTGTGAAAGTTGTCTTCCTCTTCATCACTAGGATCTTCCCCGTACATGTCTGCCAACTTGCGGAACCTTGGGCCGAAGTTGGACAAGTAGTCAAAGTTGAGGTCACCTTCGTCTGTACCTGCAATACACAGATGTCCTCATAAATGTCATACTAATACTGAAAAAATCATAGGTACGCTCACAACAATTGGACATCACAACATTAAAGGATAGTTGTACTAAAATCTTACCGTTAAAATCTGACAAACAGCAAGCTTATTTACCTAAAACATATGGGATATGGCAGTGAATCTTTCCACAAGTGTGACGTCATGGATCCTGCTGCATGGCCTATTTTTATTGTGGAGCCTTGGTCTTAGCAGTAAGACCTAAAAGTAATAGCTTATTCCCTATATAAGAAATTCGCTAACAGCTGGTCGATGCAATTAACAACTGTTAGTTTATTAAACATGATTGAAATAAACAAAAAGGTAGTCTAACATTTGAATAAACATATTGCCAATAATAGGTAGTATATTACAGATTACATTTAACGACAATTTAATCTATTTTTTGACAGGCTAACATTGATAAGACACAGAGTATTTATATCTATGAGGATATTTTATGATACTATGGGAGTATGTTCTTCTACACTGAATTAAATTCCCGTTGTGAAGCACGGGTAGAACAACTTCTATATTATTAAGCCTGTTATAAACTAAACCTAAGTTAACCTCATTACTTTGATTGCCCAGACGTACCTGATGCTAATGATGAAAGTGACCCTGTCGTGTTACCATCTCCTTCGTACGCATAGTGTCTAACATCGTCGAAAGGATTTGTTTCAGGGTCGTTATCCACGGACTGCTTCTTGCCATCAAGGAATCCACAGATGTCTGGGACATCATCTGGACCTATTGAAAAGTTAAAATAATTGTCATTTTTAACAAGACTTGCACACACAGGACATTACAGACACATGTACTAAAAACTTAATAATTCCTTGGATTGGATTAAGCTCTTGAATTGTAATCTGACTTATAAAACATTGTGCTCAGCAGGAGAAATTGAAATCAATAATAATAAAATTAAAGACACCTACACCTAAATTTGAAAGTAAAATACAAATAAATGAATGAAAGAAATTTGTAACTGACAACTAACCTCCTCTACGTATGAGATGTGTGTCTGTAGGCAACTGTTTCTCACTGTAAGGATGGTCATACTGGAGACGCAGCACATTCAGGTCATAACCTGTCATGTCTCCTTCACCACCTCCTTCTTCCTCATAGTTGATGATGTTCTCTCTAGTGTCATCATGTTCCTTAAGCAGATCGTCAGTATTCCTGCGGTGGACCACGACTGCTAGCAGCAGAACTATAAAACATTTATTTGGTAAACAAACTGTACTTGTCAGTTAACACTAATCTGGAGTTTAGACGAGACATTCTTATCGGGATGTTTGGATAAAACAAACCACAGTTCCCTGAAATAGCAATATGGCTTACCTCAGTGAGGATGGACGAAAGAAGTCATGATATAAATATGGTTATTGTTATTATAACCGGTTGAGATAGGGACGCCAACTAGGTGTTGGTAATTACATTTTTAACCCAAATATGAGTGACAGATGAAAAGTATAGAATGGAGTGAGATGCCTTGTGTAGCTTTGTTACCTTGTTGCTTGTAATACAACCCCAAAAGTCAAGGACAGTTGGTTCCAGTTTTGAACCATCAAAAATCTACTAATTTTCTCAGGACCGAAATGGCGATCTTATGATTACTTAGGCAAGCGATAAAACCACTTAGCTACCCAGATAGTCGAGCCAATGAGTTGTTAAGGTAGCAGAAGAGAAAAACATTGTGATGGTCAAAGATATAGTAGAAAAGTAGGAGGTCAAAATAAAATATATAGTCCCTAAACTAAAAATATGTTTTACAAAAAATAGATAGTTCCTAAACTAAGAATATTTTTAACTTTGAGAAAAGGAACTCTGAGTCCACATTAGTTAGGAATTGTTTCATACTTACTTGTAAGAACAGCTAGACAAATTAATATGGCTAAGAGGAAACTTCTATCTATGCCAAAAGTAATTGCCATTGAGTTTGCACTGTTGCAACCGATGTCTGTGTTCTTTGAGAGGCTTGGGTCTCCCAGGTTGTACAGCTGAAAAACAAGAAATGCTTTATTTAGTATTAATAATACATAGTGATGTGTCTGTTGCAATTTCTATTGGTTCTGTTTTGGTTTGGGCAAGTGTGAACAATGTTACTTATTTTTAGTACAATAGATCAAACTACTACCCTCTTATATCAAAAAACCTAAGCTATACGATGATTTTAACTTTGTAAGGTATATTGTTAGTCATAGTAGGTTCGTAGTTAAATAGGTTATTGAAGGAAAAAGTTAAGTTTGTTTACATTTATTTAAACTATGAAAAATATATGCAATACATAATTACAATAATATAACAAAAATAAATATGAATTATTATTTACACTCATTAAAACTATTTAGTGTTTCGACACATGACATACATGACTTTTATGGTTCCAGTAGAAAATCAGCAAATTTAGTCATACAATTAAAGTAGTGTGCATTTTATCACGTCATCGTGACTGTAATCCCTGATTGCGGCACAATCGTGATCATCTACCGCTGTTGGGGCTACATTTATAACCTCCCCTGCAATTGCAAGGACATGGCCGTCTTCTCTAGCGATCACGGCAAAATCTAAAATATATTTCGTAATGCTGAAACATCATGACATTCCCGAATCACAAAGAAATTTAGAGCTTTTCCCACGATTGTAGAGACATCATCATCTCCTGCGATGACAGAAAAATCTTGAACATCCCCTGTGATTTAGAAGATATCATCATTGTATCACCTAATTGTGGTGAAATTGAGAGCATCTCCTAAGATTACGGAAAAATTGTAAACATCCCCCGTCATGGAGAATACATTATTATCATATTCAACAAACATAGCAAAATTTAAATTTTTACTAGCGATTGCAAAGACATACTCATTGTCTTCTGTGATCTCTGCAAAATCATGAACATTCCCTGCAATCCCAAGAACATCATTATCACCACCCACAACCCCAGCAATAGGCCTAAATGAAAACACCCCCCCTACGATTGCAAAAACATCATGATCTTGGAACACTACAATGATGTTACCGTGAAACAGTAGTAGATGATCACAATTATTGTATCTTAATACGGGGAGATTTGGAAATTAATTGAATCATAAGTCACAACGTATCAAGAATGGAAGATTACTTTTGTTGCCACTGATGTTGAACAGTTTTTAGATATTGAGAACTAGAATCTCTGGGATCTTAAGTTAACAATAAAACACTATAGCTTATCTAAGTACTTAGATTATCTTAGTGCAAATTATCAGCATGTTGAATTTTCTTGTTCACTGAAAAGAGAGAAAGACATACAGAAAGCTCAATTTCATTTAAGAAAAGTATAGATAAAAAAATTGTATTTAAATTACTACTAGGCCAACTTCTGTTGAGTTTGCAACTAACCTTGCCGTTAAAGGTGAGGTTGTACACGCAGCCACTGAAGCCCTCGTCATGAGGTTTGTAGTTCCAGTTCATGCCTTCAGCCACAGCAGCCAGCTTCATGAAGGTACCTCCCACCTGTAGTGGCCCGTTGACATTGAGCAGCTCATTGGGAGGTATGGGAGGTCCCATCGCTAGACATGACTGTAGCTTGCAGTTATCCACCTGTAGCTCGATCGACTGTTGGCACATTAACATTACTATAATAATGTCCTAAAGGAATGCCAAGTGACTAATTGGAATATTTCTTAACCCTAATAAAATTTGAGCCCACAGGCTATTATTCACAGTAAAAAGTCATAACAACATTTCTTCTGCCAGAAATAGTTTTTATATGGAGTGATGTGATACAACTGTCCTGATAAATTTAATCTAATTTAAATAATGCTATACCACATTTTTCTTTGTTTGGATGTAGATTACAATTATCTAACTGCAATAGAAACACACAACAACAAAACACAATTCTTTTTAATAAAAAAATATATAAATAAAAAAAAAAGTTGTTATAATGTCCAGACTGAATGACTGGTATTTACTAACATAATACGAATCTCTTTTCTCTTAAACACTTAGTTAGGATGGATATTAATTGTTCTTTAAAGTTGGATCCAATTTTTTTTTATTAAAGAGTATGATCTTACAGATTTGCTCCAGTAAATGTCAATTCGGTGAGTGTTATCGTCGGACAGTTTGAACTGGCGCTGCTCTTGTTTAACAGTCCCAGAGCCAAAGTCTACCAGCAATACAGGGTAGCCATCCCTCAACTCCAGAGACATGAAATCTGTACAACAACAAACAAATTATAAGTATATTGCCAACTAATCAAATCATAACAATCATGCCTGATTTTTAATATTTTCTGGTTTATCTAAAAACATAAAATATTGCTATTCCTATATATATTAATTAATACTTAGGATGTTTCTTGGATATCTTTTTTTCAGCTTGTGTGCATTGCAGGTAAAATCTACACATCGCATACAGTTAGAAGGATATTTGATATTGTAGATGTGCAGAATCTCTTTATAAATTGAAATAAGCTCAAAAATAAGCATAAAAAATTAATTTAAAATAGCCTAGGCCTTATGGGTTGCCATGCTGGTGACGAAATAACAACAAAATATAAACGGAAAATCAAAACAAATGGAAGATATTCTAATCATAAGTTTTATTTACAGCGGGGGGTGAAAATAGAGAAGTTTTCCCAGTAAATATTTTTGGTCGAGTTTTCTACCATGGGGTGCACTCTAGTAAACTAACTATTAATATTGTACTGTATTCAAAAGATCAAAACAATTTTTTTTTAATACAGCTTCTGACTTTACATTTCCATTACACTACGTGCATGAAGTACTTTCCGTTAATGCCCAAAGTCTAATTGTACAATCCCTTCTCTTGTGTGGACAACCTTACAACTTTTTCACAATTATTCATGGACTTAGATTTTACTGAAAAATGAACAAATGTTTTAGAATAAGTTTGATGATTTCCTGATCATTGATAAACTAAATTACAAATAATAACTTGAAGGGATATAGGCTGAATTTTAAAGGAAAGCCAATTGGATAGTAAAGTAAAGAATATTTTTTTGAAAAGGAATATAATTCAGCTAGCTTATCTGAGAAAACTAGTGTCCAGGGGGTAAAGATAATAGATGCACAATAAAAGAACACAAAACATAGCAGCACTGATATTTCATCCTGATTTAGGACTACAGTACTTTAGAGAGTTGTTCTGAAGTTACTCAGAAGGTGTCTTCAGAGAAGCTGTACAAAACTGAATTTAAATTAGAACAAATTTGTTTGTACCATAATGACGTTTTGAATTCTTTGCAGAGCCCCTAAAAAAACTTCAATCAAACGCAATAGGCTAGATGATTATTTTCTTGATAGGCCTAAACAGAACTGACCTTGTACACCAAGCATTCTCAAGGAGTCGGAGTTGGTGGGTCCGATGTAGAAAACCAGACCCTCGGGTTTGTGGGTCCGGAGATGCAGAGAGAGGTGAGAGTCCACACAAGAGGCGAAGGGAGGATACAACGCCCAGCCATCACCCTTGAAGCCGATCCCCACAGTCTCACAGTGAGGTCCTTCAAACCCTTTGGCACACTCACACCTGCAAAATCAACCAACATTACCTGCCAACCTGACACACCCCAACCTTACTACTATTTTTATTTGTTTGTTTGCTGAATTGTTAAAAAGAAATAAGTCCAAACGCTGGTAATACTTAATTACTACCTAATCTACTATCTATTGTGCCATTTTGTTATTTAGGATCACTAATTACCCAAAGACAATTATGGCATTTTGGTCTGAAAACAATCTCGCTTGGAATTGAACCAGCGACCTTCAGATATAAAGACAAGCAAAATAAACTCTCACCTTACCAGAAAATTCAAGTTATTAATAGGTTTGCATTAAATATGTATTGTATAAGTTAGCGAATACCAAACGTTTTGTCAATTTCCCTTTATTAATGGATAAAGAACAGAACAGCTATATTTTTAGAGACTTATACCCGTACTATTATAAATAAGTTAACATGGAGAGAAAGGAAAAGCAATAACTGTGGGATTTAGCACTAACTCATAACAGAGCAGGTTTTTGAATGTAATCTAACTAGATTGGTAGAGGGTTGTGCAATACCAACCTGTCTCCAACTGGAGTGCCACCATTGTAGCAGACCATCTTCTGTGTCACATCACATATACAGAGAGGATCCACCACAGCCCTGACTCCAACAAAGGAGGTGGTGTTGGTGTACACTGCACTCGGCACCTTGCTCTTGTTGAGGAAGTTGGTACACGACGGCTCTGTGCAGTACAGCTTCTCTACCAGACACTCGTCTATGTTCACCATCAACATGCTGACTCCCAGGGCCTTCTCTAACTCTCTCCTATGTTCGTCAATTGCCGCATTGATCTTCTCAGGAGAGTAGTAGGGAGAGCCGTGAGCTGAGAATCTGACGTCCAGCTGTGTCTGGTTAGTATTGTGAGGAGAGTGCAGCACAGTAAACACATCTACGTTGTCTAAGCTGGTGTTGAGCAGATGGGCCAGTTTAGCCTGAAGTATCATCTTCTTGCTCATGTCATGCTGTAAACAATCATTTTACAGAGTTAATTTGATTGTCAAAACGGTTAATGTAGCTCTTTAATGACAATAGAAGTTTAATGCTTAAAACCAGGCACATCTTGAAGTATCTATATATATAATACGCTAAGCCGATTTTTGTGAACAGAACTCCTCCCTCATTTTTGGACCGATTTTGATGATTAAAGTGTCAAAAGAATTGCCCTGATCAGTAGTTTTGCAAAGTATTTTTAGTTTTTTGATATCTTCATTATTTTGGGCAGGATCTTCCATCAAAGTTGGATTTTATCCCATAAGATTAACATGGGGGAATCGAAAAATTTAATTGGAAACTTTGTCACCACTAATTTGGGAGAACGGCTGGGCGTAGAAACTTGGCAGGGGTGTCAAAAGAAAGGTCTTAGTCTCTAGATGAGTTATCAAAAGAAAAACGAAGTAAATTCCCTTAGGGCTCTGCCCCATGTTACAAGTCAGGAGCCCCGCGCAACAATAGCCAGGCGCCGTCTCAGAAGGGTTGTTTGTTTACACGGGTTTCTCCTAGCGCACCACTGATAGACAATAGACCCATGTCAACGTACTACCTCAATAGGGGCCCTAGAACCTTCTACACTTCTACGGCGTAAACACCTTTGTCTAGGCTACCAGGGGTCTCCAGAATGTTCCACGGCAAACTTATATAAGGGACCGTCTTCCGGCACACGGCAGTTGAGTTGAGTTGAGCCTTCCGAGAATCGTCGCGGCAAGCGCCCGTCGGTGTTAGTGACCAGTGCTAGTGCTAGTGACAGTGACAGTGTAGTGACGGTGTAGATACAGTGTAGTGACAGTAGTGACAGTGTTGTAACAGAAGTAGTGATAAATCCTGTAGAGGCTAACTGTAAGTAGAACCATTGTAAATTAGAATAGGCATTAGCTAGGTTTAGATAGGGTTAGTTAGGCGTTAGGTAATTGTAATATTTGTAAATAGATAATAATTAGTGTAAATAAATAGTTATTAAAAATCGCCAAGTTTTATTGTATAGAACCTGCTAATCCCGCAACACCCAGAAGCCTTTAAAGATCCCTCTACTGATTAAGATTTGTTTACATTTTGGCCATGTGGATAATACTTTCTAATGAAACAGCTGTTAATTTGTAAATTGTATTTTAAACAAGACACATTAATTAATTGGGAGTTACTGAATTGTCCAAAAGAAGAATTTGCAAAGTTATTTTCTGATTTTAAAATTAATTTTCTTCTGTATCATGTCATGTTTTGCAATATATAACGTTCCATGACGAAATCAGTGGAACATCCTTTTATCACAGTAACTCTTAAAATTATTTCTCATTGACCTTATATCTATTATACGGGTTGGTGACTGACCTTTTCATCATTTTAGCGAATTTCCCATATAGGGAATAAGCTATTACCGTAGTACTCATGGTAAGACCTGGACCCGGGACCGATTTTTTTTTTCGTTTTGAGGTCCCTAGAGGCCAAAAACACCATCCGTTCAAATTCATATATATATATATATATAGGCTATTTATATATGTATATATATAGGCTATTTATATATATATATTTATATATATATATATTTATATATATATATATATTTATATATATATATATTTATATATGTGTCCGTTAGCGCGATAACTCGAGCAAAAACGATCCGATTTTGATGAAATTCGGTACAAACGTGTAAACCTACGTTTATTCGAACGAGTTCGCGAACCAGCATGATCGGACCGTGGGATCGGGGGTTTATGGGGGGTTTTATGGGGTAAAAATGGGTTTTTCCCATTTTTGACTCAAAATACATAAAATTTTGCAATTTCTTTCTAAACTATTTTGTAGAGCTTAAAAAAATAAATAATTTAGTATATTGAAGCGTTATAATGCACCTAATCGTTACGGAGAAAATTCCAAAAAATTGTAAATTTAAAATTCCCATGTTATTCTTATGGAGAATAAGTAAACTGTTGTAGTTTGCTTGTTTATTAACATATTTTGCCCAAATTTGGAAAATGTTTTTATTTCTTACTAACTATTAACATTTTACATAAAAAAAAAACACTTTTACCCTCCCTGTTGCAGCAAACCTAAGTATGTGTTAAACTGATTCTATTTAAATAAGGAATGTGATATATTTTTAAGGAGACGTTTTAGTGTAAATCCAATCAGGCAAATGGAAATTCGCTTAGTCTGCAGGTTTGCTGCGGCGGGGGTATTTGTCTTTATTTTTATCATATTGTTCTAGACAGATCATCATAGGTAAGATTATTTGCATACATGTTTTCAATCATTGGAAAAATATTCAATTGTGTAATACGATACAAAATAATAGCCTACAAGTGCAGAAGGGCACGGTGCCCATTTGAGCCATATCCATATTTTGTTAAATTAATAGTAGTTTACAGCAACTGGATAATACATTTTACGATATTCATGTAGAAATATTTGCATTATAAAGAAAGTCATTAAGCTGGAAAACTGCAATATACTGCAGACTTTTCAGAGAGGTTACTTCGATGTATTTATTCAGCTTAGTGAAAACATAATATAGATATGTATACAAATAAGAACTTGAATTCTTAGAGAGCCTTTGAATGTTATTAGACTAACGAAAAGGGTTCTGCTACCGCTACTCTGCAACAAAAACCATTTAATTTGTCTCCAAAATATATATTCTTAACTTAAAGTGCACTGATCAGCAGCAAATAAAAAACTATGTAACTTACCCATATGTTATTGAAAATAACACAACATTTTGGCTGTAAATATGGCCCAGTGAGTAATAGCTATTTACATTACAAGTGTAGTAAGAGCGTTTTTACATCACGCAGGTGAATGTTGTGCAACGAGCGGAAGCGAGTTGCATAATTTACCTAAGTGATGTAAACACGCTCTTGCGTAACGTGTAACGTACAAGATTTTACCTGACCCGACAATATACATGGGTTTACGTACAATATTTTTCACTACCCATTTCACTCATCTTCTATCAGTAACGTTCTTTTACTAACAAAATTGCAAAAGCTAGGTTAGGAAAATACTTTAAAGCATAACAATAACATTCAAGCGCACAGCTGATTTCTAGCGTTGAACGTCGTTGGCTCCATAGAGTTATATTTTTTAAGTTAAGCACTCAATGTTATTTAAATGGGTTTCTTTACATCACCGAGTGAGTTTTTGATACTTTACATCACTCGAGAAGTAAGGAAGTTGTATACATCACGTTTGGGATAGGGAAGTTGAACATGGCGGGTTAGGTAAATAATATTTAAGCAGCTACTGTCATGACAGAAAGGTCATATTCATTTTAAACTAGATCACATAATCCTTTATAAGATACGTTGATTAACAATGCATGTAAACGTGAATATTTACGTGACAGCCAATTTACATTATTTTTACTTTTTGGAAATGCCTCATTGCTATGTCATTTGCATTATTTGTTGCCAATGAAGCCGCATATAAATGAGGAGGCCCCTAATAGTTTAAGAATAAAAGCCAACTTCACTTCAAGTATATTCCACTACACCTATCATTCCGTAGAGAGATTATAATGACAACTTTATGTAATTGATATGGCTGAGACAACTAACTGACATCCCCCATGTCAAGGAATTCCAGCTTTAACAGTAACCCCACAACAAATTTCTCAAAACTGTGATAGAGGGTTATTCATTTTAGCACAGAAGTACGATATGAACTGACGCGACGTAACGAAGGAAAAATCAAACTTACACTGTAATGGATATCTTCCTTTGAAGCTAGACCGTGTCTTCCCAACAAACAGATTTTTTTTTTTTTAATAAAATCATAGATTAATCTGCATTACACTGATGAAATCACGGAAGTGTTTAACTACAAAAGATCCACCAATATGATTTAATACTATTTAAAGGTTCTTCCAAACGATGAGATACCAGATAGTATACTAATAACACCGATGACGTACAGTATGGGAGATATTTTATTCATTGAATGATAAACCATATTAGGTAACTAATGCAATTAATATCAATATCATTATTGTTTTTACACTTATTAATCTTTAAACAATGCTAAATGCTCACGATATGTACAATTTCACTCAATTTATCGCAGTCAGATGAATTAGCGTAAGCCTTGAAAATAACCGTCGATTTCGACGGGTTTCACCTAGTATTGTATATTAGCGTGTGGTAATAACAAATTGTAAAAACATATCCGATTTCTGTGATGTTATTCTTCAAAGCTGGATACTATATAGCTGTAGCTCTGAAGTTTTAAACCATCCAAAAGCAACTGATTTTTCTCAGGATCTAATCAGCAAACTTCTGATTGCTAGGCGAACACTATAACCACTCAGCTGCCCAGTTATAATTACATATTTTATTCTTAGTATCAATTTCATTCCTAAACTTGTGTTCAAAAAAAGTTTCTAAAACGCTTTATTTAGTTCAAAAACTAACTTCTACATGATGTTAAATGACAGACGTAACATTCAGAGCAAATTTAACAACTCGTCAAACTGCGGATTGTTACTTACTGAGTCAGGTGTGATGAACTCCTCAGCAGTGATGCCAGCAAACCTGATGGAGCCAGACTTATCCACAGCCTCCTCGGGTATCTCCTTGACTGTCACATTCACTGTGGCAGTGACTGTGTGTCTGGGGATCTTTTTGGCTTCTTCTGTTACCTATCAACAAACATTATGTGAGTCACTACTATGTACTACCAGTAGACATACAGATTTTAGTTTATAAAATTCAGTTCTTACAAATTCTCCTGCATCCACGTCGAATCATGGAATTATCGTGGCCTTTCCTTAAATGTGATTTAGGCGACAAGAGGATATGAAAAGAGAACAAAATAGTCAATTGTGGCAGATTTTCTTGGTCATTGTTTAGCATTTAAATAATCCGGTCTCATAACAAATTTACATACAATTCACCAACTTTTTACCAGAACATAAAAATTCAAGTACACTTCTTAGCTTTTTAAGAAGGCTAGACAACCAGGTGCTAGCTGCATTTGCTGGAGGTTAGGACATACAAATTTGGTTTTACATATGGATTGTTCATTTTGCCTTTACTACACAGTCTCTGACTATAGGTCGGCCGCTTAGAAAGCGTCCTCCTCGTAGCATTGGTGCGAGAGAGAGATACCGAGCTGTGGGAGTAAGACAGAATATGGCTCTTCCCCCACTCCACTACCACCCCACCGTCACCCATTATTTTATTTTAACAAATCATATGTTTTCTTGTAATTTTCCAAAGACTTTCGAATGACAATCATTAGGAATCAGCATTGAATATATAACACTATTTAGTTTTATATATCCAATATAGCGTTGTATTCAACATTGAATGAATATACTGTAGTAGTGTTATACAATATAACACTACTACAGTTAGTTATATTGTACAGTTATATGGTACCATTTAACCGAAAAACAGTAAAGCAGTAAATACTTGATTGGCTGATTGGAGGGGTGGGGGATGTGCGTGCACACACCTTCTTTTATACGCCTAGCCATCCTGGGTCCAGAGGTATTACCATGAGTACTACGGTATTAGCTTATACCCTTTATAGGAAATTCACTAAAAGGCCGTCACTAAGATGTGTGATCGTTGGTGGCAACGCCATTTTTTGCAATCACGTTATATGCGTCTAACACAATCGTGGCAACATCAGCGATAATCTCCTTCGATTATCTCAGCTTTCATGACTCTTTGTGATTGCGGCCGTATCTTAATCGCGGCGAGATTCGTGATGATTGTCCCTATCGCGGCAACAGCCATTGCGGTGGGTCCTGTATTCGTGATTGTTTGCTGTGGTCATGATTTTCCACTTCTTAAAACAAGAGAAGCCATTCGGTAAGCGTCTAGTAAATCTTTGAAGTTATTAAGAAAAACCATAGTCCGAGGGGATCCTACGGGTTTAGTAGTTTATGCTTGGGTTTAGTGTATGTCATTTTAGTGTAATAAAATCTCGACAACTTACGCTATATGTCGTTTTGTGCTGTTTTTGTTAAATATATGTAAAAAGAATCTTGTCAATTTATTTGTAACTATTTATTTTCCACTAAGGCTACTTAAATGAGAGATTTTCAATTATATAAAACATAAGTAGGAGCTGCAAAAAAGGTTCCGTCATGATTATCTGTATGGATAACACCATTAAACAGATTATTATTCTAACTAATCTGTAGGGATGAAAATTAACCTTAAAATTCGTGTAACTGAGCAGTCAGACATTTTCGGCAAAGCCTCTTGTTTTCGGGCGGGCCTGCGAGGGACTGTTTTCCACAGTAGTACGAACTCTGTCGAATGTTCATTGTCTGGCATCCGATCTGACTTTGGTCGGCCTTTCAACTTCCTTTCAACGCAGAAGCCGTTGTTCTAAAGTTAGAAACCCACCGCATTATTGTTATACGCAACGGAACTTCTCCATGTCGCCTTACGTTCCCTACCGACCGTCACACTACTCTGTTACTGAGGGATGAGTATAGTTGGTATACTAGTGTATAGTAGTGTTAATTGAAAGAACGCACGAAACTGCTTATGCTGCTGAGTTGCAATGAATGAATTCAATACTTTTTTAAAACAACTCCATAACAACCTCACGTAGCTCAGGCGACCACTGCTCTGTGACTAGAAAAAATGGCATTGTGTAGACTTTCCAACGAGCTTACTCCCACCACTTTCAGACAACCTGTCGCTGAACAGTGCTCTGCAGAAAATGGATCGGTTTTTTGCCACACCCTGTACTTTATAACACTATGACTATATTCAATATTGAATACAACACTATATTGGATATAAAACGCTAAATAGTGTTATATATTCAATGCTAATTCGTAATGATTGTCATTCGAAAGTCTTTGGGAAACTACAAGAAAACATATGATTTGGTAAAATAAAACACGTTCAGCTAGCACGTGACGTCACTATGCACACATTTTGTGAAAACAGCAATTGGCGGAGAGGGGGAACGTACCCTCCCTCGCCGTTACCTCCCCTACATGCGCTAAAAATTTCGCGCAGGTCGTTTTCTAAACGGCCGACCTATAATAACATTTCTTAAGTTTACAAAGAAAACATAATAATAGGTAAACTGATTGCCCAACCCTTTCTTCCCTTTGCCTTACAATAAACTGCTAATTGGTGTGGTAAGTCTTAAATAAGAAAGCCTTATCGGGAATAAAGTTGGCATGTAGTGTATTAAATATATACTAGAGGTCGTCCAGTGGTGGAAACTCGACCAAAAATATTTAATGTACAGACTTCTTTATTTTCATTCCACACTTTGAATAGAACATGTGATTGGAGTTTCTTCCATTTGTTTTGATTTTCTGTTTATATTTCGTTGTTATTTCGTCACCAGCATGGCAACTCATAATATCCATGTTAAATTTTTCAAAATTTTAAATTCATTTTTTGTGCTTATTTTTGAGCCTTTTTTAATTTATAAAGGGATTCTGCACACCTACAGGAAAATAGCTTTCTAACAGTATGCGTAGATTTCCCCTACAATGCACACGAGCTGAGAAAAAAGGTTTTAAAGAAACATGCTTGCCTATTAATATATAGATAGATGGATTTTAGAAAGTTATTTAAAATGACTAAAAAATAGTTGACAAAAGTAGAGCAGTGAGTACTTAGTGATTGTTTAGCTTACCAGGAAGGTGAGCAGGTAGGAGTCAGCCGGTGTGCCTTGCAACATCGTGATCATGCCTGTGGCATCGTTGAGGTCGAAGTAGTTGGTGTGGTTTTTGTCTTCCCACTGGAAGCTCTTGTCTGGCAAGTCCCAGTCATCCAGGTCCTCCACATACACTCTGCCTATCTCAGTGTCTGGTGCTTCTCCCTGCAAACACAAACATTACTAAACCTTGTAAGCTCCTTGTTCAAATTTCAACAATCAACATTCAACATTGTTTTTTAACATTCAAATTTGCACTACCAATTATTTAAATGAATTTTACAATGATATTGTTTGAAATTTGATGTCTTACCTTTTACACAGTTCTGTTTTAATATTATAAAAATATTTTATATTAACAATGTGTAATGAAGTGTTTTTAAATTTATGTAAAAACAAGTCAAGGATAACAGGTTTATTACAAATTAATACTTGTGTTCTAGAGAAGAAACTAATTATAGTTGCAAATGTTTTATACCTACAGTGAGCTTAGTATGATTTTCATAAAAATGGTTAAACAAATATGAAAAATTATAGTTACACTGTTAACAATGTTTCTCTACTCAGTTGAAGTAAAACAAATCTCACCAGTAATAGCTTACACAAGTTTTTAGATAAAATGTCTTTGATAAAAAAGTATAAAATGCTTAGGCAGGTTAATATATCTAGTAATATAGTAGGCTAATTGAATTTTACTCAAGTCACTCTTAGTGAACGTCAGAAGTTTGTATTGAAAAATGTGTTGACAGGCTAATACTTGCACATACTTTGTAATTGTAAACAAAGATGTCACTAGACCCCTTCTTCATAGGGTTGTCGTTTTCATCCCCAATGACAACGGTCAGTGTGCTTGTGCCTGTCTGGGTTGGCTGTCCACTGTCTGTTATAGCGATCTGAACTTGGTAACTCTTCTTTTCTTCTCGATCAAAAGTCACTAGAGCTGATAGTTGGTTTCCTGTACACCAATAAAGAGTCAAATTATACTGACAGTTCTCACAGTCCGATGGGAAATTTAATCATATTTGTCAAATAAAATATCACTCCTTTATGTTTATGAATACTCAAAAACGTGGGTATCAACACAGTCATGATGTTATATAGAATGTAAAATGGGATATTAAATTAAATTTATTCAAACCTGTAGTGTTTAAGCTCTCTAAATTTGTAAACTTATAGCCTACCTACAAATAACAAACTAAAAAAATATAAAATTATTTATAAACAGGACCTGTATTGTACAATCTTTGCATTAGGGACATTGTTTTATAAATGTAGTTTAATAGCACATGTTAAATTTGATTACACTTTCCTGCTATGATCAATCCAATAACACAGTAGTGCAGTACACAAGTAGACATGCGATGCCAACAGCAATTTAACTTACCAGACACGCCAAACTTTGATCGTATCTCTGAGTTAGCGGAGTTGGCTATGGTGTATTTGAAGGGAGGCCCGTTGTCAGGCCCGTCGTTGTCCTTGGCAGAGAGGGTGGTGATGGTGCCGGGGAGTTGGTTCTCCTTCCACACCACTGGGCCAGGCTGTAACACCACAGTGCGAGTGTGAGAGCTCACTGTCTGATTCACTACTACAGTCCTACCCTCCAACAAGGCTCGTGCCGTGTCATTCCTCGACAGTATTGTTTGCAAAACTGAGTTCACAGTTTGATTGAAAAGTGAATAGTCCTGACCGGAGGATGTGTTTTCGTAAACAGACAAAGATACGTCCAGCACTTTTCCCCCAGGCTCATTTGCTTCCTTTGAGCCAGTATCATTTAAAAAACCAATCAACAACACCAACTGGAAAGAAACTGTTAGGATGAACATTTCTTAATGGTGCCAAAAGTGTATTACAAGCCAACATATGTAACACATAGCTGTAGCTGAGTAGGCCTACTGATCAGTGAGTAACATCTGTGTGAGTTGAGTGGCTCGGTAACACACCTGTGTTGTGCAACAGACCTCGACATTGTCACTTGAGGTTCTGCATCTACATATTCATACACGTCTGTTATAATTACATCTATTGTGTAGTTACAACTGAAGGTAGAAAACATAGAATTGTGTTATTTTAGTAGTGATTTGTTCAACAATAAAAAAGCACAAATAATGTTCAATTTAGATACAATAAATTTCTTAGTAGTCTAGTGTTTAGTAGGCCTACCATGTCCAAGTAGGGCTCATTGTCATTGATGTCCTCTAGGGTGATGATCACTTCTGTAGTCTCCTGCAATGATGACTGCCGAGTGCCGTCCTCGTCATTGGCCCTTATACGGACTTGCCAGACTGCAAACCCATTGGGTGGGTCTCTGTCCAAGGGCTAAAACAAAAAAAATATGTTTGTAAGATTTCTTTATCATTTAGCCATTACTAAGCTGATATTAAATTTCGTCTAATACATAGTCATTGGCTAGGCCTACCTAGTAATAACATTTAATAATAGGCCTAATTACATATTGAATTCACCATATAAAAAAACTAACCACTTAATTGAAATACTACAATTGGATAAGAGTGAGAAAGTCTGTTTTAGTTTTGTCTGACATAATTCAATACAATGGGCCATTATATGCATATTATGAACAAAAAATTTTCAACTCCCTTTAATTTATGATTTTGTAGATATGGGCCTCACTAAATTAAGGTGTATATTTAACATTTTTATTAATGAGGGTTGGTACTAAATTTGAAAAATAAAATTCCCTGACTTTTCCAGGTTTTCCAGACTGATATTATACTTTTTCCAGTTACCTTTTCCAGGTATTCCGTAAGCCGATTTTAACTAATCAAAATCAAGAAATATTAGAACAAAATGTAAATATGTAACTTATTCTTATTGTGTGATTATTTTATTTAATCACTCTTAAATTTTAAAACTTGTTTCAAACTATATTTATATCGATTCCTCCCCTGTCCCGATAACTTACTATCGATATAAAAATGTGCATCAGTGCTTAAATTGTTCTTTTTGCCATTAGTCATCACCCTGACAAAAACATGTAGCATATCTGTAAAAAGGCAGTCATTCAGGAGAAATTACAGAATTTTGTCATAATTCCTTGACTTTTCCAGGTTTTCTCTGACCGTACCAACCCTGTTAATTATATTTGTTACCAACCACAGTACAACTTAACGATAATTGTGTCCATAACAATTGTGGTACGCTACATGAATTAATCTTCTTGACATTGAAGAAGCAATAAAGCCATTTTTATTTTTATTTACAATCTTTGCAATATGGCTTCACTGGATGATTTTACTGTCATCTTCTTATCATCCATTGTTAGCTAGTTACCCGGTGTTTTTACCTTCCAAACAAATATAAAATCCAAAGTTCTTGATTCAAGACAAAGAATCACTTGGATTACCAAATGTTCCATTGAGTAAATTTACATATAATTAATATTTAACCAAAATTTTCATCGCCAATTGTTATTTCAGAATTGTTCAGAACTGAGAAAACCCACAAGGCATTGGAATTGCCTTTACAGCTATCTATTAATTAATTTACTGAAACCTGAAACAAAAGATTATTTGTAGTTAGTATTTTAGGGAAGCTAAAGATGTTTGTGTGGGCCAACAGGAACTGAATAGACAGTTTTAAATTGTAGGGTAGGTACTATTATTTTAAGTTTACAGTAAAAAGTTAGACAAAAGTGCTGTAACAAGTCAGCTAGAATGTAATTAGTCTGCATACTGTACCTTCAACAGAGAGAGACAGCCATTGTTGTTGATAGTTAGGTAGTTTTGTTGGTCCTGCTTATTGACAACATTGTAGACAATGTGTTGAGGAGCGTCCCTGTCTGGTATATCAGGGTCATAGGCTTTGAGCTGTAAACAATCTCACATAAGGCAACAGCAATCATGTACAAGTAAAAATAACTTATATGTGACTGATCATGCATTTCATTTAACGAGCCCTTATAATCAGTAAAAAATGCAAGTGAAGCCAATAGAATTGAATAGCTGTTTATGGAAGTAGAATCAGCTCTATTGCCAATACTTAAACCTAAACAAATAAATTAATTAAACAACTTACAGTCATTATGCACCCTTCCTTCATCTTCTCCTCCTCTATAGTGATATTGTTAACGTAAGGTAGAAACTTTGGAGGGTTGTCATTGACGTTCTCAATCTTGATATCAACATAGGCTTGATCCTCATAAACTCCATCAAACGCTCGAACCTTCAGTGTATACTGAAAAAGTAGAAAAATATAAAGATTTGTTAAATGTACTAAGTAATATTGTAAATTAAACATGGTCTATTCACTGTTACTGTTACTGTTATTTATTATCTATTGGTTGACTAAAGACAAGATATGTTTCTGCCCTGTACAAGTTGACTTTGTTTTTAATGTTTATTATGAACTTGTTTAAAACTAATTTTTTTTTTAACTATTGCTTGTTCACTGGTTAGTAAAAAAAGACATTCGGTTTCTTCAGCACACTCAAACATTACCACCCATGAAAAATACATAAAAAGAGGCATAAATTGTGCAACAGGGTGAGAAATCTACTGGCAGTATTTAAAATTCTTATGGTAATGGTCATTCTCACAATGAGTGAACTACAGGAGTTTGAACGTTGTATACTACATGAGAGAAGCTACTTACACTAGTGGTATTTTCATAATCCAGAGGGCTGTTGACTCTTATTTTACCAGTCTTAGGCTCAATCAAGAAAGCATTGCCAGTGTTACCATCAATAATGCTGTATGTGACAGAAGATTCTGAAAAAAATTTAAACATTATTTGAAAAATCTGTAGCATTATTCTAGAAAAACTCAAAATGAAACTTCTGAAATCACTCTTGTCTGTCATCTATTGAGGACTAAATAATCCACAATCATGGCAAAAAAGATAAAATTACCTGTGGTCACAAGGAAATTGTTAACTTTTAACCACATATGTTCCCAGATACTTTCTGAGATCACATAAAATAAAAGCTCGGCACAGTTCAACCCAACCCGAGTTTTTGTCTAAAATTATTTTTGGCCCAAACCAATCCCAAACTAAGCTTGGTCCAACAGTTTGACCGGACCTAACCGGATGGCGGGTTACAGTGCGCGGGGTGATGGCGGGCTCTGCCTGTCAGGGATTGGATAGGTCCCGAGTGTTGCTTGCACTAAATGCGTCAGGGAATTCCATTATGGTCCTTCTGGGTTTTGTACCTGGGGGAACCCAGGTGGAGTGACGCTTATGATGTGCCAAAGGTTGGTGCATTAGCTTCGGCCTACATCATGGGGCTCGGGTATGGTTAATTATAGGTACCGGGCTTGCAGTCAGGGAGCTTCATGCTCTCATGACAAAACAAATTGGAAAATGGAAATGGAAAATGGAAATGGACTTAACCGGAAAATATCAGGGACTTGCAGACACACAACCTGTGTACATTACAACCTTGAAATACTAATTCTATTTTGCACTTTCATGTGAATGCAATAGATAGGTTAGCCGAAGGTCTCTGCACTGTAACTAGGATGAGACTGATACCAGATAGTTATGCAGGTATGAGGAGTTTTGAAAAAATGTGGTGTTGTGCAGGTACTTAAGAGTATAGAGTAACACCTATTTACAAGTATAGTCTGGGTGACAAGGGGTAGTCTCGACGAACTTGCTATTAACTATATATCTTCATGGTCATCCTACACAAATATAGTAAATAAATTAATAGCACTTGATTTCATCTTACTGTCTGGAGGATCGAATAACTTGGGAAATCAGATAACCAAAGATTTGATAATTGAGACTACCATACTGTTAAGTGTACAGACATTAACTTACAGTGCAGTATCAGAGTGTCCAGCGTCCTATCAAAATAAAATATAAGGACGATTCCAGGTTTAAAATTCAAAATTTCCAGGAAAAAACTTACAACTCTAAATAAACAAAACTGATTTATTTACCTGAAACCTGAAAGTACATTAAAACCATTCACCGAATAATGTGATTATTTTCTAGATGACAGCCACGTCAGTGGTCATATCTTTCGATCAAAATTTGTGATTATTTCCTGCGATCGTGGCAACATCCGTTTATCTTCCCGGCGATCGTGTCAACACCTTTGATTGTTTCTCACAATCCAACCAAAAACTGGGTTAATATACCACAATTTTGACAACACCAGTGATGATTTCACACGATCGCGGCAACATATGTGATGATTTCACACGATTGCAGCAACATTTGTGATGATTTCCCGCGATCGCAGCACCATCTGTCATGATTTCCCACGATCGCAGCAAAAGCTTTTCATCATCCCTGAGATCGTGTCAATACCTTTTGATTATTTTTCATGATAACAGTGATGATAATAGCAACCGTGAACACACGTGTAATGATTTCACGCAATAGTGGCATCATCTGTGATGATCCAAACACCCATGGCTTTTTATTGTGATCCTGACAACACCAGAATTGTTATGTTGTAAGCGTCTCATACGATCACGGCCAAATCAGTGAGTATCTCATGATCACGGCAACACACGTGATGATTTCTTGCTATCATCTCAACAACCATGAATATTTTTTGCAATCGTGAATATGGTCGTGATATTTTCTGCGATCACTGGAATTTCTGTTATTCATGACAGTTTCTTGCAATCGGGATTTTCAACCACACGAAAAAATTGGAAAATAGGCAACTTTGTGCAGATTTTTTGACTATTACTCACACATAAAAATTTTTTCTCAAGTTCTTGACAAAACTCAAACTGATTTTTTTTTAATTCACATACAATTCCCGGTTTCTAGGTAGGCTGGACACCCTTAGTATATCAATATTCTGTGATATGATAAATATTAAATCAACAACAGATTGTGAAACACATACCAGAGTCTTTGTCTTGAGCCTCAACCTGTGTGACTAGGTGATTGATGTTGGCATCCTCAGGCATGGCCTCCGCAACATATCTCTCCTTGTTGAACTTGGGCGCATGATCATTCTTGTCAGCTATCTCTATCCTGAATGTTTGCTGGCCTAAAACATCGCCACATCCGCATTGAAAATACATGTGCAGTACACTCTTGGATGGAGTACATAAACGTACTGTATGACATTGAGTACAAGCATCCATAAATTGTATGATTTTATTTTATAAGTATGATGCCACCAGGAGATGCACATTGTGATCATACTTCAGCTCCATGGCGAGTCTATCACCAACACAACACTGGGAATGAGAAGTTGTAGATATATTAGTGTCACAGATATGAAAAATGAGAATTCACTGAACCATTCTCCAGTCAGTGTACCAAGGAAATGCCTAGCACTTAATATATAATCTAAGAGCATTGACCTTGGCAGTCTATATGAAACATTACTAGTGGGAACATGAACACTTTCAATAGTTAAAACATTATTTCAAGTTGTGTTACTATTGTATGACTGTTGGTTACCTTTGTTTGGTTCTCCATTAACTTTGTTGGCCGAGGGAGAGTTGTCAATAGCAATCACCTTGACATTGTATGAGGCTCGCTCCTCCCTGTCAAACGTGACCAGAGTGGTGATGTTTCCAGTATACGGGTCAATCGTAAACACATCCGTGTTGTCCACTAGCTCGTACATAACCTGAATATTCATCAAATAGATTTAGCCAAAATATTCAACTAAACTAATACTTAACACTTACCTGTAGACTATTTTTATGACAATATCACTAAGAGGCGTCATACAGTAACACATTTTTAGTACTTAAAGGATTAAGTTTTGTTTGAGAATAATCATTAAAAATCTCCTTCCATTTGATCAGTAGCATTTCCCAATGGTCAGTAAAATCATGGCATGGGTGAGGTTCATAAAGGCCAAATTTCACAGAATCCAAAAGTAAAATATTTAATAAATATTCACGACCTTCCAAATTTCACTAAGTGAAAAAACCTACATGTTAAATAAACCTTGTTGTCCAAATTTCACTAACTCCAAAGGTATAATATTTAAATAAGCAGAGCGTTTCACTAAGTCCAAAGAACAGTCCGGGCCAGAAGTGCTGCAGGGGTTGCCATGGTCAGTTTGCAGGAGTTGCTGAGACTGTACTTTAGGACTAATGAAATTTGGATTTAATGAATCGCTCTGTTTATTAAATATTTTTAATTATGGGCTTTGTAAAATTTGGAGTTAGTGAAACGGTGATTATTTACAAGTTATACTTTTGAACTTAGTGAAATTTGGACTTAATGAAACGCTCTGTTTATTCAATATATTTACTTTTGGACTTTGTGAAATGCTCCTGTATAGATGGCTTGTTAAAAGCATATCTTATGATTATTTTTTACATTTTCCAGGTTAATCAGTAACCAGTATTGTTATAAGCCGAATGTTTAACAAAATTTAACTGACAGTTTCAACAAAAGAAGAAAATGTTACTCAAAAAGAGCCCAGCATAAATATTATTTATATTCTAAAACCAAGACATTACCAACAGCTTGCAGATAGTTTTACATACCTGGTTGTTGGCTGAGGTTCCATCACCATCGATGGCTCGCACCTGCATGACCGGTGTACCTGGAGGTTCATTCTCAGATACACTTCCACTGACAACCTCCGTGAATGTTGGAGTCCGATCATTCACATCCTCTAGTTGTATATTAATAACTGTTTCTGAGGCCAAGTTGTACTTGTTCTGGAAACATCAACAGAATATAGTGTGAAATTATGTTGCAATACTTTAAATACTAAATTTAAAATATAAAATATCTTCTCTGGTTTGCAAGACATAAATTTCAAACTAGAATTTTTTTTTATGTTAGTAAATTTGTTAAAAGCTATATTTGTAGATATGCAAAAAACTATATTATTCTGTAATTGCTCTTGTTTTAACTATACACTATAATAATTCTAGTTCCAATACTTTTAAAAATTTACTTTAAAACTGTGACCATTTTAAAGTAGGTATTTTAAGCCATGTATGAATGGAGATGAGTGTAGGATTAGTGGCACGATCTTGTAGTCTTGTTAGTAACTAAGGTCGACATATTCCTTAGACACAGCTGTTAATTAAAAGCCCATACAGCCAATGGCAACTAAGGGACCTACAGTTTATAGATGAATTCTAAACACATTTTTGCCTTGTAATTAACGAATTGGTTTAATTATTAGGATAGGTAGTAAATAACCAGTGGACAATCATAAATACAAAGCAGCAAAATTTCCAGAAGGAATGTTCGCCTTAAATAAACTCTTCTCTGTACACACTTAAGTTAACATTTATTTTAACAACAATAATACAACCAATACATCAAAGGTCCTGTATGGGTGCAAAGAAAAAGTAAACCAGAATACTCAGAAAAGTCAATTATCAAATTATGAATTATTTGAGAGGGGGACACCTCCTCAAATAAACCTGTCAGGTGGAAGATCCCTTGGACTTCAAAATTAGAGGTGGAAACATAAATTTAAGTAACTGAAGACATGGAAGATACTGTGATGTTATGTTTTAGGCCTACCTGTATTCTAACAGTGAGAGTGTACTCAGTAATGCTCTCATAGTCCAGGTTCTTGCCCAATCTGATGTAGGCTGTGGTGCCGTCCCCAGCTGTCTCTAGCAGAAAGGTGCTGTCCTTGTTGGTCTGGTCTGTGCGGCCGTGAACCAACTCAAACACTGGCGCTTTCTCATCTGTGTTGGATCTGTAATCATTGCCTCCGTCAGATATTGTTATGACTAAAAAATAGTATGTTGATAGCTTAGTGAGTGTCTCAGTCTTTGGCGTGAGAGGTACAGGACCGTTCCCAGACTTAACAAGAATTTTGGGGTTGTACAGCCAATCAACTTCTCTAAACTGCACCAGGGTTAGCTGCAACCATAATATAAATCCAAATCAACAGGAAAATTTGCTAGGTAATGGGACTCATTCACCATGGTATGGATTGGCTAGTTGACCTGGCTTCGCCAACAGAACGTAATGATTTTGTTGATACATAAATCAAATGTAATAGAGGTAAAGTTTGGTTAGGAAAGTTTGAAGAAATATATTTTACATGCAGTTGTTGACAGTAGGTTAAATAACCTTAAAACCCATTAAATTCTAGCCATTATTATCTGAAAACTAGATTATTGGGAACAGCCTTGCTCCTTTTACTTCAGTTAATCATGGTTTACTGTAAATTGCTTTCTCTTTAAAGTGTTGGATATTTTTAAGACTCATTTGATAGCATATTATCAATTTGTATTTTACAATTGTTAAAAAGGAGAAACAGTTGAGAAATTTCAAAGGAGTAGTGTGATAACCTTGGTAACTGTACCACATAATGAAAAGGTTCAATCAAAAGTGCTGTGAATCACTCATTATTTTAAGAGCCCATTTAATTTATTACTGCCTTGGTAAATATCGAAAAGATGAACAATAAATTGGATAAACAACCATACATTTGAGGATCTTTGTTAAAGTTCAAGCTTCACCTTTGTAACGTACCAGTATACTACTAATGATACACCAATGTCAGGCACCAGTTTCGGTGGACTCTACGTCACACCACTTATAATCATATGTGAACCTTGGTTACCTAAGTTTAATAATTGGACAGATTTATTTACTTCTTCACCATTTAATTGGTATAAATAAATTTCTTTATTTTTATTCTTGCAACCATCTCTTCCTTGAACTTTATGTTAATCTATCTTAAATATTATGGTCTGATTTGAAACGCCACTCTTCATAACAGCTTCCAACTGACCTCAACTCTTCGCGGGTATGCAGCAAAAACACTGAACTTCAATGACAATATTATCAGTGTTGTCGATCGATACTTTAGTGCAGCAATATTTTTTTAATCATAAATTAATAAAGTCTGTCCTACTACTTACATATTTATATATTTACTAAAAAAAATCATGAATAATAACCATTACAGATAAGGAATAATCACAAGCCAATGTAACAGGTCTCAGGACATCAATCATATAAACATAAACGGAGTGAATCGTTAACTGATGTATCCGATACACATATCAATCTGCCCTGTCTGGTACAACAATCATCATGGGACAATAGTCTAGTGACAGTCACGACCATTTAATAATCATAAATAAATCAACATGTTTACCAAGAAAGATTACTATACTACTTATGTACCATTGCAGTAGACATTCATAAGTGACATTTGCAATAAAAAGATCAAAATATCACACAATAAAATTTATTTTTATTTGCAGGCAGTTTAAAAGTTATGATTTTAGTATAAAATAGACCTAATATTAATAAACTACTTTTGATGAAGGATTAAACAGGACAATTGGTCAAAATTTCAGTATGCTTGATTCAACCCTGATTAAATTAAGATGTTAAAATAATATAAACAACAACAGAGTACCCAACTAAGCTTAAACCCTGCCAGATCAAACAGTAGGACACCTGTTAAAAAAAGGCAATGATTAATAATAACTCTGCGTTTTGAAATATTGACCAAAGTGTCTAGCCGACATGGAAATTGGGAAAAACATAAATAACTGCACATTAATTTTGCATGAAACCTACAGATGTGGAATGATCGCCAAGAGCCTATGGCTGAGCACCTAATAACAGCGTTCGGTTGATTCTTTTTTGAAGTCAGCGAGATATAAGAAAAATTTGATAGCCATAATCATGGATGTTACTACGGCAGATCAACGTGTATTAGTAATTGCAGAAGACGATCACGATACTGCCATGATCCCCAGGCCAATTAAATGTGTTTACACTTTTCCTGCATTCCTGGAGAGAACTACAACTCATAATAAATACCGTACTCATTCATATCCTAGCTGAACTGGAAGAAACGTTGTTCTAAGAAAACTGTTCAGTTGTAAGATAACAGTTTCTAAGAGCTAACTATTATTTGCTCTCTCATTTTAAATGGGCATACCTATACAATAAACTTTTAGTGTTCTGTTATAAATTTGTTTATATTCCCAGTAAATACCAGAAATTTTAATTTTTCTGAACAAACAAAAGATTTATAAAGCATTGTAACCATGACAGTAACAAGGCCAGATTAACAATAATCCATTGGCATTGACAAAATGATGCATTTACCAAGGGTATAACCAACCCATTTCATCATACAAATGGCTACAAGGCACTTTGATATTATGCCCCACTATTGTAATGGGTATGATTGCAATCCATTGACAGGCAATCACTATATTTATCCTGAACCAGACCACACGTAAGTGGGAATTGAATTTTTTAGCTTTACTATACATAAAATATTCTTTATAGTAACGTTAGTCAACTAAAAACTGTAGTACGCTATGATAATACGTCACTAATATAAAATGAAACACTAGTAGAGTACCTGTCCTTCGTACGGGGTTGGCATATAAGTATAAAATGCTTATTGCAGTTATGGGAGAGGACTAAATATATATTTACATGAGTGGTTACTCTGTTTTGGAATAATGGGCAGTTGATTTCACTAAAGGATATTGAACAGTATACCATACACTAACCAACACAAGTACTGTACAATTCTCATCCCATGGTAAATTTTGAAGCTAGTTTTTCGTGCTTAGTTTATGTCCGGTCACACTGATCGGTAGTGTCGACAAAATTTATTTTTTATTATTTTAGGGTTAATTTCATGATTTGTGCTTTACTGTTTGGCTATAAAAGCTAGGGGCAGAGTTAATAACAAGAAACAAATTGTAAACAAAACACGACCTCTAACAGTGCACTGGACAGAACGAGCAACAAAATTGTCTTCAGCTGATCTTTAAGCATTATAGAAATCTAATAAGGGAGTATGTTTATCCATAGCAATACTTTACTGAATAATATTTATATACAAGAAAAAAAGTTTTTACAAAAAGAAAATTTAAAAAAAATGTTAACTAAATTAACACTTATAATACATTATCTTTGACTGAATTGATAGAACTAGACACTAGACAGTCCATCCTAAATGCTATAGACCTCGCCATTTTTAAAATAAAAATTATGTAGTTCAATTGAATCACCAACAGAAGAATGCACCGATGTAAATTGATGATTCCCAGTCAAATACGCCAACTTTTTAAATAAGTCAAACTGATAGAGTACTTATTTTTTAAAGCTATTAGGGGTGTGCGAAGCAGCAAAAACTTTCGATTCAAAGCAACGATTTGATTCAAAAGATTTTCAATTCAAATCGATGAAACTCGATTCGAAGCAATACCACATTTTTCTATTCGTACTTGTCAATGGAGTGAAATTACAATAGGCTAATTAAGCTTTACCACTTGTTAATGAAAATTTACGTTGATGTGGTATTAGGCCTATTCAAACATATGGTATACATGAATTTTGGGTGAAAAAATATTTATTTTTTATCATGTATTAGGAGAACCTGTATTGCTTTTGCTTGAAATATCAGTGAGCTGCTTTACTAGCCTATTTCATAATTTTTACTTGCAGAATAATATTTTTAAGCATGTTACCTATTTTATTGTATTGATTTTACAAATAAAGATATATTTTGGTGTATACAAAGTAAAACATTTGCAAGATTTATACTGAAACTTTCAAATGGTTTACATAAGCGGACCTACAAAAATACCAAAGTTATTGGTCTGGTTGGTGACTAGTTTTGGCTTTGTTTACAGTAGGCCTAGTAAAACATATCTCACACTGGTTACACTTAAAAATACTACTCATAATTTACAATGTCTAAACAAAATATTATAATACAATTAAAGCAATATTTACAAACAAAAAATTAATTAAATTGAATGCCTTCACAAAGGAAACGCAACAACAACGCGCTCCTGTATTACGGGTATTGCGTTGACTTTCGGAAGGCGTTTTGTATATGGATACTGACTCCCTCATGAATTGAATAGTTTTTTGATCACCACCTGAATCGAATCGTGATTCTATGCATTGAATCAAATCAGAATTTTGATGCATTTTCGATGCATCGCACACCTTTAAAAGCTATAACATCATATAATCTCATATGATATTTCAGTAGCCTAAATAATACTAGGCCTAGGCCTAGGTAACATACAGTTTTAGACTGTACTCTGCATGACACTCTTTCAACTATGTTTTTTTAATGAAAAATAAACAACAGCTCTATGAAAATGAAATGTCGAATTTAGTATCCAAAACCAATGGTATAATCAATCGCAAGTATACTAACTTGGCCTGGAGCTTGGCAATGTTGTAGCTGAAGTCGGAGATGTTCTCTTTGAGTATAATGGGAGACTGAGGAGTGTAGGTGAACTGTGGAGCTTTCTTGTGGGACTCTACCACAGAGATCTCTAGGTCTATAGTGGCGGAGTTGGGGATCTCTCCTTGATCTGTGGCAGTGGCTCTCATCAGGAAATGGTACCCGGGGTCTTTCTGTGAAATCACATAAAACACAATACAATAATGACAATGTACAAGTATAGCTTTCTTGTGGGACTCTACCACAGAGATCTCTAGGTCTATAGTGGCAGAGTTGGGGATCTCTCCTTGATCTGTGGCAGTGGCTCTCATCAGGAAATGGTACCCAGGGTCTTTCTGTGAAATCACATAAAACACAATACAATAATGACAATGTACAAGTATAGCTTTCTTGTGGGACTCTACCACAGAGATCTCTAGGTCTATAGTGGCAGAGTTGGGGATCTCTCCTTGATCTGTGGCAGTGGCTCTCATCAGGAAATGGTACCCGGGGTCTTTCTGTGAAATCACATAAAACACAATACAATAATGACAATGTACAAGTATAGCTTTCTTGTGGGACTCTACCACAGAGATCTCTAGGTCTATAGTGGCGGAGTTGGGGATCTCTCCTTGATCTGTGGCAGTGGCTCTCATCAGGAAATGGTACCCGGGGTCTTTCTGTGAAATCACATAAAACACAATACAATAATGAGAAAGTATGAATGAATATGCAAGTCTCATAAAATGCAGAATCTAGGACTGAGTCTAGAATATAGAATGGAAAGTTTAAAGATATACACCATGAAGGAAGTTGTGAAAAAAATGCTCAAGAAATAGAAGTAAAAATTCAAGTCATTAAAAAAATTAATTATTTGCTTGAAACTGAAAGTGATTCTGTTTTATTTACAGAATAATTGCAGAAGGATTTGTGATTCTGGTTTTTTCTTACTAGTAGTGGATAAGCATAATATAAATAGTTGTACTATTTATAAGTCCTGTTAGTATTTGTTTTCATCTTTCACTGTCACACAAACAATGGGTTGTCAGGTTAAAAAAAATTTCCACAGTACACAGCGTTCAATTCACAGACATAGGCCTACTGTATCAAGATTTCATTCTTAACTCACATCAATATCTCGGTTGAGAATTATGACTCCAGTGTTGTTCTCAATATGAAAATAATTTGCTTCCTCGGGCTTCTTGGCTTGCAGATCGTAAAAGACCTTGCTGTTGTTGCCGTCGTCAATGTCTGTGGCTGATATCTTCATCACCACATGACCAGGCACCAGATCCTTAGGCACTGACTCTACGTAGTTCTGTAACCACAGATATAAACAATAAGCATGATGCTCAGTGCTTACCAACATCATTTACCTTAAACAAAAATTATGGTTATTTGAAGTATTGATTTGGTCAGGCTTCAACTGATTAATAGTGTTAGTGCGGGGGAGGGGTGAGAACAAAAATATAACATACTCCGTTGTGTCACCTCTTAACCCTTTTGTTGCTTTGTTTCCCAAAAAATGCAAAACAATATAGGTATCGTTGTTGGTATTTTTTTTTTTTTTTATTTGGACAAAGGACCATGAAATATGCCAGAAAGTGATTTTTAATGTCTTAGGACATGTGATTTTAAACTTGTACATATCGTACAAGCTTAATACGGCCCAAGGCAGGTTGGTGAGGGCCGACTTTAAGCGAAACGCGATTGAGGACTGTAAAATGAATGGCAACAAAATGTGTTCCACCAAATTATACGGGTGGGGGAGATGCCCCTCAAAAAGGATTTGGCCTAAGGAAGTTGCCAGAGAAAAAAGAAAAAGGATGTAAAGCCTGCTCTGGCAACAACCACCCTGAGGGGAAGTCAAGAAGTTAACAAACAGTGTGTGTATGCTGCAGAACTGGCGTGCACCCTGAGTGCATGGGAAAGCACATTTGGTAGTAAGAAACAAAGTTGTAAATAGTGTATATATGTTTTTAAATTAACATTTGTGACAGTAATTATCTTTCCAAGACTTTAAGTATTTTTAAGACAACGGTGTTTCGGTTCGGTTTAAGCTATACTACAAACTCGCGGCAAAAATGTAAGTAATTTTCTTTTTACTTATAACTTTTATGAAAATTGTCCAATGAACTTTCAGGATTTACTCCAAATAACACATACTCTTTGATAGTAACAGATTTTATATTACTGAGTTTGACCTTGGATATGTTTTTTTTATGTCAAAGTACAAAAAAAAATATATATATATATATATATATTTATATAATTATACAATACCTATTATTTTTTATTTTTTCACTCTGTCTGTTATATTTGATATTATAAAACATACTATACCCTAAAAGATTAAAAAATGCCATGCCTATATCTTTCGTCTTAAGAGAGTTTTGATTATTTAAGTAAACCTCTGGAATAGGTCTATAGCCATATCGACTCTTAACACTCTTGGGATACAACCTGTACAAAATGCCAGCCCCCAGCACTTTTCAGAAGAAATTCAAAAAAACCAGTAGCACTGAAAGGGTTCAAGCAAATCTTACAGTGTTAATATATAGTAACTTGTTTAAAAACTCTGTAAGGCAAAATAAGTTCTGTCCCGACTTTACGAGGTTAACCAAATATTTGTTAGAGGAAATATAAACTAATGTACATATTTTTTTTAGTTAAAAAGTATAGAGGAGTAGCCTACTTTAAAAGGTATGAAGTATACAATTTAGATCAAATTTGTGCAAATCTACATTGAACACATTCCACTACTTGGTTTCTATTAAATAATTCCAATGCTCAACATAAATTAAAGTAAAAATACCCCCGCCGCAGCAAACCTGCAGACTAAGCGAATTTCCATTTGACTGATTGGATTTACACTGAAATGTCTACTTAAAAATATAACATTTATTCTCTATTTAAATAGAATTAGTTTAACTAGTACTTAGGTTTGCTGCATCAGGGAGGGTAAAACTTTTTTTTTGTAAAACGTTAATAGTTAGTAAGAAATAAAAACATTTTCCTAATTTGATCAAAATATGTTCATAAACAAGCAAACTACAACAATTTACTTATTCTCCATAAGAATAACATGGGAATTTTAAATTTATAATTTTTTTGAATTTTCTCCGTAACCATTAGGCGCATAATAACGCTTCAATATACTAAATTATTTGTTTTTTTAAGCTCTACAAAATGGTTTGGAAAGAAATTGCTAAATTTTATGTTTTTTGGGTCAAAAATGGGAAAAACCTATTTTTACCCCATAAAACCCCCCGTAAACCCCCGTTCCCATGGTCCGATCATGCTGGATCGCGAACTCGTTCGAATAAACGTAGGTTTACACGTTTGTACCAAATTTCATCAAAATCGGATCATTTTTGCTCGAGTTATCGTGCTAACGGACACATATATATATATATAAATATCCTACTAATATTATAAATGAGAAAGTTTGGATGTATGGATGTATGGATGTATGGATGTATGTTTGTGACAAGTGAACGCGAAAAATACTGGTCGGATTGGGCTGAAATTTGGCATGATGATAGCTCACATTCCCGATTAACATATAGGCATATTCTTATTTCAAAAATCCTTTCGGGCTCCGCCCCAGTGGCTCTGGAGTTTCCCATGTTAACCTTATGATAAATGGAATTATTGAATCTTAACAGCTGTTTCAATTAAACAAGTTGGTTCTGTTCTATGATGTTCAATAGCATTAAAGTTACAAGGATTACCAACAGGGTGCAGCACTATTATTTCTTTTACATTTACATAATTTATGACAACAGCTAATTTGCAACCAAAAGGTGAGTGAGCGTAGCGAACGAACTTCAACCTGGAGGCGAGTTAGCGTAGCGAACGAGCTAACCTGAAGGCAAGTGAGCGCAGCGAACGAGCTCCAACCTAAAGGTGAGTGAGCGTAGCGAACGAGCTCCAACCTAAAGGTGAGTGAGCGTAGCGAACGAGCTCCAACCTAAAGGTGAGTGAGCGTAGCGAACGAGCTCCAACCTAAAGGGGAGTGAGCGTAGCGAACAAACTTCAACCAGGACGTGATTGAGCCATGCGAACGAGATAATCTTGAAAATTAAGAAGTTAAACGGGGCAAAGCCCGCGGGTTACAGCTAGTATATATATATATATATGAATTTGAACGGATGGTGTTTTTGGCCTCTAGGGACCTCAAAATGAAAAAAAAAATCGGTCCCGCGTCCAGGTCTTACCATGAGTACTACGGTAATAGCTTATTCCCTATATGGGAAATTCGCTAAAAAAACTTTTACTGCAAAAAACAATCCCAATATGGACTAAGAATTATCTAAAATTTAAAAGAAAGCCCCATGGCAAGATGCCAACGATCAAGAACCACTTAAAGATAATAAGTTGTTGAGAGGTCAATTTACTAAGTAGAGACATGGCTGCTTAAAAAAATCCTCTCACTACCACTTTATCTTAGCACCAGAAAATGCTTGAAGGTTGACATCATATCTTCTAAATGATAAGACAACATTGGTAGGGCTTGTATCGAACGTGTTGATTCAAAACTACAATTTCATTCTACATCCATGAGTACAGTTAAAAATTAATTAGAGCCAAGGCAAGTAAATTAATTGTTATCAGTTTATATCTTAACATATTCAATTAATCACATTATCAAAGAAGACTTTATGCTTTTTAAACAACAAAACGATTTCCTGCTGTCATCAGCATCATTGTAAAACAGTATATGCAAATAGCTTCATCAATGTATTATTTCTTGTTCAGTTAGTTTTCATTTAGAAAAGATAAATACAATTAAACCACTAATGTTTTTTTTTACTCAAGAGTCAAGCTGAACTACTGCCATTTTGCTAGTGTTTGTTATTTCACTGCCTGATGCCTTCTCATTTATATTTTACTGCCATCTCTGGTATCAGATGTTCTGCCTTTGTCTAACATGGCTTTTATTGCTCCTACACCATAAAAATCTCATCATGGGTTTATCTGCTCCATTCCCATTCCACCTGATGGCTCTTCTCAGCACATTCACCTTTCTCTGATATTGATATATTGACTGGCATACAATATCCCACAACCACATAATCAATAGGATTAAAAAATGTTATTCATAAATAAATTAGTACAAACAACCATTGTGTGTTAAGGTTTCAATAAAACGACCAAACAAACTGAAATCACACAATGAAACTGTGATTAACAATTAAAACACAGGTGACTTGACTGCATTGTGCAAACGCTTTGTGTATTTAGGCCACTGTAAATTGTTTGGAAACCTGTGTATTTCTTTGACAACCAATGACATAAATTATTATGCACAAAAAAGACTAAGGCTTTGCTAAATATACGTAGATACATTCCCTATTTATTTACCAATACGGTGCACAATAACTTGCAAACATATAAAACAATATCTACACATTAATTCATGCTTTTGATTACCTTCCACACATATCCACGAAAGACCTGCATTGTGGTAGACGATTAAAAAATATACAAACTTGTACCAAAGAAAGTAACAAAAATACATTTTGCATTGGACAAAAATACATTTTGTAATCCACATAATCGATAGTATTATGCATTTTCATAGAACTGTTCATGATTTTTACAAGTTAAGGTCCAAATAAGAAAGCTCTTAGGTCTTCTAAGATAAAAATGGAAAAAGAGACTTAGGCATCTAAGAACTCCTAAAAATAATGCAATTCGCATTCATGCATTTAAACATTTAAAGCAAATTACATGGTAGAGGAAGGCTTCAAAAATATATTATATGAATACAATAATAGCTAAACCTCACTGACATGCTAAAGTAAACTAAAAACCCCATAAAGATAAATGATTAACATTAGGCGGCTTTAACATTTGTTGCGGTGAGCAAAATTACGATTAAAAATCATGGCTTGGAGTAATCAATTGTCAATCAACGATAACAAATATGACATGCCCATCTGGAAATCATTAGTGATGATTTTAATGCCAAACAACAACATTCAAATTTGCATAATACTTGCATCAAGCTTTTATCATCATCGGGTCTTTTTATTAATTAGCAGTTTGTGATTTTCAAGTTATAGTTGGGACTGCATATAGAGGATGAAAATGTTAAACAAATCGGGATCAATAGCTAATAATACTTCTGATAATAGTAGGCCTACTGATATTAATTTGAACTTTAGGTAAAAAATTCAGATAATCTAATGGCAATACATAAAAAACTTCTTTGAGTTGCTAAAATTAGCCTAAAAGTATAACAAAGGTGTTAAAATAAAGAAAACAATTTCTCAGATGAGAAAATATCTCAATCCCTACAAGTGCTACATAAGCCTTGAAATAGATTATAAGAAAATTAATTATTTACTTAATTTTATACATTTTCCACAGACCGGGAAGTGCTGGTTTCGCTGTAGGGAAATCTACTTAACAATTAAACGTGACAACATCTTTCATATCCTTTGGTAGCTAATTGGTTCAACAAACAGATCAAATCCATTGTTGCCAGACAGAAAATGGAATATCACAATGGATAGAAATAGTACTCTATGGATTTGTAGGTCAGTTTGGAATAGGCCTAACAGTCATACATACCACTTTATCAAAGACTGGTGGATTGTCATTGATGTCTTCTATGGTGACTTTAATGGTGCAGACATCATCCAGTTCTGGTCGGCCGTTGTCCGTAGCCCTCACACTCAGGTAAACCTCTTTCTCTCTAGACGGTTCATCTCTGTCTAACATCTGGCACAACAAATATGTAATCAGCAACAACTGAACATGTCCAATATATTAAGAGTCCTTGGAGGCAAGCGGTCATCTTGAATAATTTCAAACAGCTGATGAAGAGTTATTAATCGTCCAAAATGTTGGTACAAACACCAAAGTGATTGTAATTTAAACATCTTGTAAACAGTGGGATTAGAAATTTTCTTTGTAGTTTTTAAAATGCTTTACGAGTTAGAACGTTTAGGTTCGAAGGTCTCTTAAGGAATGGAATATATAAATTTAAAATTAGATCATATTGTAGAAGAGAAAAAAATAAAACATAGAAAGCTAATTTAGAACTTTTCATGAATAACAAATACATAAACCTAGATAAATTGTAAATTAATGTTTTAGTAATCAAAGGCTGAGACCCCCAAATGCATGTTTCATCCCATAAATTCACTGATTGGACCCATTATAAGGGTTGATAAAAATGTTAACTACTGATAAGCCTATGTTTATTATCTTTAATGAGTAGATAAATAAAAGAAATAGGCTACCTTATACAGCCTAATTGTTTGATCAAGTATCTGAACTAAAAAATGTATAGAAAATTGTTGCCCCAGAGAGGAATATTCTGCACAGAAGGTGAGTCGATAAAATTATGAAATGATTAGAACATTGAATTTATTTTTTTATTGGCTATTTTGGTAGGCTTCTAAGAATAATACATTCTTAAATGATCAATTTTTTTCACTTCACCCACCATTATCTATTTAAAATTTTTAGTGTAAGTTACAAACTAAATCCACATTTGATAATGAAATTGATTAACAAAACAATCAGATTTCACCAAAATCTGAATAAACAACCTCCTCCTAATGGCTGCAAGTTTCTCACCACATACTTCTAGCGGTTTAAGTTTATAAAGTTAAATATAGGTAGTTTACTTACCACTGCCGTGCTAATTTCTCCTGTTACGGGATTGATTTTAAACTTGTTTTGTCCAACAGATGTTGATATTAACGTGTAGGTAATGTTACCTCCACTTTCTGGTGGATCTCTGTCTTTTGCTTTCACCTGCCAAATAATTGTTAAGTTAGAGATTGTATGAATTTAATACTGTAGGCTGTAAGTATAGATAAGATGTACGGTACTCATGAATACAATATTTTTGCTTTGATTTCAGAGCTATAGGTCAATCGTTAAAAATTTCATTACTAATACTGTGGTAATAATTTCCTCATTGGCTATTAAAAGTGTGATTGCAAGGAAATGTTTTGAGCTAACTATCCCAACTTAAGATAAGTTAACTCTTCTAGCACAGAAAACCGAATTGGAATATGTTCTATGGTAACTTTACAAATTTTGTTTGGGCTAAATTAACAATTCCACGAGTGAACAATTCAAACATTATATTTATTCAAATTCAATCACAATATCAACCAAAAAGAAAATCAATTCGGCAAATAACTGATCTAGGTTAGTATATACAATGTATAACAATTGGGTTAAAATATTAAATATTTAATGAATATTTTAAGTTGGCACAATTTTGAAAAAATAAACATTAAGTGGTGTGATTAATTTAAATTCAAAAGTTTAATATGTCTTTCAAGTTACAAATTATTCTCTTAAACGGGCAATTAATTTCAAACAATAACATGTTTATCTTGTGGCTGATTTTAATAGGAATACCTTCTTCAGTTACCTCTAGAATAAACTTGACATTAAATTAAATTTACTGATAAAACACTAATAAACCCTTGTATTGTAATAACTATTTAAGTATGTAGGTACCACTGCCCAAAAGTTAGTCGAATATTATTTTGTATTTTTTAATTTATTTGAAGAGAAATAAGTACCTATCCTATAATAAGTATGGTATGTAAGTAAATATACCTACTGACCAATAAGTTAGTAACATTAAGTTATATAATTTGGTATTTTCAAATTTACTTTGAGAAATGTAGTCTAGTGTTGGCAAAACGGGAATGCCGATGGAGACCAGGTCAAGTCCCTTCAAATGCACACACCCCCACAGGTCTCCATCGGCACTCCCGTTTTGCTTAAACTATAGAAAGTAGGTACCGATGCTAAAAACTACTAAGCCAAGAAAATTGTTTAAATTACTTATGGAGGTTTAGGCTTTAGTAACGTTATCATTAAGTCAGGATCACATGTCATGAAAAAATCATTTTATGTATTGACACGTATCTTATTGTATTCTAGGGCCTACATGAAATCAAGTTAAAACGTTATAGAACATGACACAACTTACCGTAAGCACAGGAGTCCCCGTTGGCTCTTCTTCTTTGACAGAGGGTTGATATTCTAAACAGTTTGTGAACACAGGTTTGTGGTTGTCTACTTGCACACCGCTTCCTCCCATGCTGTACTGTTAACAAAATAACAGAATTGTTAACAAAATACTATGCAGATTAAGCATCAATATTCCTTCTTGCAAAATGTGAAAGATTGGTTGATGGAAACCCATTACCCCTAGCAGGAGTTTTGGAATTCAGATTGCCACACAATGAAAAAAAAAAAATTGTTCAAGGAAAAAACAGAATCAAACCCTGCCTATGGAAATGAGTGTGGTTTTTTAAGTTTTCTCCGTCTTGCTTTTTTCCATGCTTTATTTAATTCAACAATAATTTTCTCCCCTGCCGCAGGTTTTACAATTTTAGTTAGGCTATTATTTATTTTGCATGGTGTGCTCTTTGGATTTTTTTATGTGTTCTTTAAAGACATTTTGTTGGCGAGTCGAGAGAAAATGCTTCTCAGTCTGTATTGTTATTTTAGTTTTTTTTTTTTTTTTTTATTAGTTTTAGTGACTTCCAAGGTCAATTGTTAAAAGCCGAACGGCTGAATAAATCTTGTTTGAATCTATGTAGCCTATGTACAGACAAGGAAGAATACTCTGAATCTTCTGATTCACTGCAGTGGTATTAAAACAGTGAATAGGTACCTATTTAATGACATGTTTAAATACTATTTGAATTTGGGTGGGCGTAAATATTACAATGGACAAGCGAGAAAGCCTGGACAATTTTATACACTAAAAAGAAAACTGAATTAACACTGTGCTGCATTTCTTGAGCAATCATTGAAAGAGCCTATTTGCAAGCTATGGAAACAGGAAAGTCATAGAACGGTAGAACGCCACCAAGGAGAAGAAATAGAAATAGTGTTTTTTTAGAATTTATAGTCGTTAGGCTATTAACTTATGGACAACCTAATGCGGCTATGAATAAGGCTAGGAAAACAAGATCAGGTTTTGAAAAATGATAAGATATTAGGCTACAAGAAAAATGTTGATTAGCCTATATCGACTGTTCTTGAGTATTTTCATAATCTTTGAGTCAAATCTTTTGAAAATTATCAGAAATTATGACTGTTATTCGTTTTAAAATAACGCCTGTAATACTTAGCAATTGCTCTTTTAAACAGGTAGCCTATACCGGTACAATAGTGTGAATAAATGTAGGAGATTAACTAAAGTGCAGGCATTTATTTAATACCGGTACCGTACTAAGCTATTAATATTTTGCAAAAACACATTTTAATAACCCCCCCCCCCCAACAACAAACCTAGTTCATGTAATAGTTAAACATGAGTAGGTAACGGTAACTTTCCAATCAGCACTTTTAAGTTACCGGTACCTAAAATGGAAAACCGCTAGAAGTTAAAAAAGTCTGCAAGTTTGCTGTGGTGGGGGTATTTTGTCCACAGAGGCCTAACTTAGCAAAATTTAAGTGCCTATATCGGTAACTTACGGTAAGTTAGGAACATGGGTTTTAATTTGTTCAAAAGGTGTATTTTTAGAGAATTTCCCTAAAAACAAAGGTAAGTACCGTAGCATTACTGTACCGTAGGTCTAGCCTAATGGTACGGTACCTAAGTAAAGACTTGGCACTTGCGCCCAGGACCAATTTACTTTTTCATATTGATGTCTCCGGAGGCCAAAAACACTGAATTATTCGTTCAAAATGTATATAAGTTATATTAGGGTGTGTGTGTTCGTAGACGCGATAAGCTTAACTTAACTTGAGTAATTTTTTTTAATTTCGATGAAATTTGGTTTGGAGGTATTTAGGCCTATAACTTAAGGCGGGATAGATACCTACCGGTACCTACTTGAATGCGTTGGTGAACCAGCATTATCGGACGATGGGAACGGGGTTTTAGGAAGGGTTTTATGGGGTAAAAATTGTTTTTTTCTAATTTTTGACCCGCAAGCAGCTTATTTTTGAGTCCTTGTATTGTTATTTCAAAACACAAAAGTTCCCTTGGCCTAGCCTCGACTTGGGAAAAAAAACTTTCTTAGGAGTTCACAACCACCACAACTGCCAAATTCCCTAAGTTAGCCTACTTGAAAAGTTAACTTAATTGCACAAGAAGTACGGTAAACACAATGCTCTCTAGCCTTTAACTTAGCAAAACAAATGATAAGTTAATACTCTTTATGATACCCATATTGAACGTAAAAATTGTTAATAACTAAGTTAAATAACTTATATAGGCACAGCTTAACTTGTAGGCCTATGCTAAGTTACGCCTACCAGCAAAACGGCAATCCAAATCTGTTGCACTCGCATTGTTATTTGAAAAGTTCGGCTCCACTAAGAAACAGTCCACAACGTTCACTATATCACTTGACAGCGCACAACACATCATGAGACGACTAGAAGATAATAAAAACTATACATTTTCAGTATTAAACTCGTGAATCAACTAACTACGTACCACGTGTACACAAACTAACTGTAAACAACGTCTAGAACAAAACAACGTTGACAACGAGCGAAACGGGAAACAAAATACGAATTTTGCAAACAGCGAACCTAGCGGCAAGAATCTCAACTAAAAAGGACGACGCGACGAACGCCAGGTGCCAGGTGTTCGGATTGCTAGCTGCTGGACTGGAGTGAGTTGCTAGGACTGGGACTGGACTGGAAAGTAGCAGACGACCTTCGAGAAACAAACTACTGTAAGCAGTCGAGTTATAGAAGCCTGTTGAAGAATTGAAGAAATCGAATCAAACACGATTACTGACTGAATCACAGTAGGATTAGTACGGGATGATGATAGCACCAACAGATTTTATATGTACATAAAAAAATTATAAATGTTTTGAAATTAAAGGTCTATGTGGTGCAAAATCTACAACTTCTTTGTCATGTAGCCTAATTCATCGTCTTTTTTTAAATACCTGATGTGTTCGGCGTCGTAGAAACACAGAGCAAAGAATTAAATAAAAAATTGAATTTACATCATCTTATGGGGGACACCTGTACATTATTATGGGTTTACAACTTTTACAATTTTTTTAGGCTAACCGTTAAATATTTTATTTATCTCTCTATTAAAAACATCATACGTATTAAATTGAAATATTAAATTTAAATATTAAATATTAAATTTGAAAATTAGTGACCAAAGCTAATATGTATCACGGTAACAGGGGCTAATCAATATTGTTTTCCTTATCGTATTATTATAACATACATTACATACACAATCATATAGTTACTGTTCCTCAATTCACTTAAGTTTTTGCCTTTGCTAAAAATCTAAGTCTAGATGTTTAAACTTTGTGCGATTTAATATGGACATATTTACGTATTAAATTTATGTATTGTCTGCAGGATAGTTAAAATAAATATTTAATAAATAGAGTGCTAAGGTAGTAGTAGTCAAATTCCAGATAATTTGGTTTACTCTGGGCGCACATTTTCTCTAAAGAATACATTTTCTCTAAAGAATACATTTTCTGCCAATTTATTTTTGATTATGCACTTCATAATATCTTTGACTATTGATACAACGTCAATAATATATTATAACATACTCCTTTTATCTATGATATAACTCACTAAATAAGTTTACTGGACGTGTTCCAAATAGTAGAATAAACATATATTACCAGAATAAAAATCAATGCGAATGAACGTAATCCCATTATTTGAACTTTGGCCAGTATAAAGTCACACATCGTGCACTGATATCACAGAACTTTACCACAGTCACTACACTGATATCACAGCAACAAGCACACAGCGCCGCGACCACTACACACTACACTTCAACTCTCAACTGAGCTGAGTGAGACTGAGAGTCATGAATGAACTGAGTCATCGCGCGACAGTGGCGTGAATCAGAGATAACGTAACGCCACCTCGCTTCTCTTGAAACAGTCAACGAGTCAACGTAGACCCACATCCTACTACTGTACCACCGCCACCGCCACACCCCCGCACCTGGACGACGTGACTTGGCACCTCCCGCAGGACTTAGGACGAGAAACTCCTATTGTAACGTGTAGGGTGTCATTGATAAACATTTCCAACATTCTTCGTTGGTGTGAAATGCTGTTTGAATCAATGAAGGTCACTACAACATAGTTACCCAAAAACAGGCTTGAAACAAAAAGGATGACAAATTCATGCAGTTTATCTAAGGTTTCATAACTTACTGTATCTTGTAAACAATATAATTGAAGGTGTGATTCTAATGAACTCTATCAGCTAAAAATGAAGTGTGTTCAGGCACATTATAGTAGTATGTTTTCTGTGGTTAAGGTTATTAACACTTGAACGATCGTTATAACACTCTAAACTTTGGTCTTGTTACTATATAACGTCGGGCTACCTATTGTTAGATAGAATGACTAATTGACAGGAAAATGGAATCCGGTTGCATAATCGGTTTCACTTTGGATCCACAAGTAAGCTTCGGATTTGAAGGCGAGCACTACATTCAATAACCTGAATAAGTGAAACATTGAATAGGTACTCACAGGTTCTAAACATCACTATATTCGCAAAGAGAAAAGGACGAATTCTGATTTAAAATTTATGAAATTACAAACCAACAAATAAGCCATCAAGTCATTGGACTAACAAGATGAAAACGTGTTCATTTAACAATTTGAAACTATTCGCAATTAAGAAAGAAGCGAGCCTCAATAAAGTAGACTGTTCCGAATTTCACCCCCAGAGAGAACCATTTGGAAGCAATAAGAACTCTAATTGAATTGTTGAGTCGCTGAAAGGGTTCGTAGATAAAACACTCAACAAGTATAGCAGCTACGCCCCCGCCTCGGTTCACCCTCACTCACCCTGCAGGTGCTTCAACCACCGGAACTACGCCGCTGGATCACTACTTCCGGTCCGGGCTACTCGGCCGTCAAACATAAACATAATTCTCCGTGGGAACTACCATAATACGAGATTTGTAACTAGTTATCATTACTGTGGGTAGAGCCTCTCCTATCTAGTCTAGGGACGACTATTACGAGCAGTATTGAATTGAATTGAATTGAATTGAATTGAATTGAATTGAATTGAGTCACTATATCCATCGCTGCACTGCTATAAGTTCCATTATTAGCC